AGCCAGGGTCTGCCTTCTCTCACCGTGTTCGCTTGAGCGTGGGCCAAGAATAATAGCTGAAAAGCGGGCCGAGGATCTCAATTTTCACGGTGGCTCTTACTGTCTTCCTGTGCGGTGGGTTTAACACGCACACTAGTCAACGACAAAAAAACATTGGTACCAACAAAAATTGGCAAAACTCGTTTTGAGCTTGTGAATAACGTTAGTGACCCTGGCAAACGCACCTTCAGTTCTTTGCAAACAATGGCATCTACAACACACTGACTTTCCCGACTTTTAGCAGTGCATTAACCATTTCGCGCCGGGAGGCGGCTAGATAGACACGCCGTAAAAATTGAGATCTTCAGCCCGCTTTTCAGCTATTATTCTCAGCCCACGCTCGAGCGAACATGGTGAAAGAAGGCAGACCCTGGCTCTTGTGTATATGGTAATTGGTCTGTGTGTGTAGCCTAGAAATGAAAAGACCGAATTTGCATCATAATCACCAGCTCCACATTAGTCCCCACTTTGAAAAGAGGCAACGGGAATGTGGAAGGGTGAGTACAGCCGCATGCCACCGAACAATCAGCCTTTTCACCGTGTAATTCAAAGCGTGCAGAGCACGCAGGGCCACAAACCGAGAATTTGCAGTTTGGCAGGTGGCCTTCGTGGCCAAGCGAGTCGGCTTTCGGAAACAAATTCCCATCGTCAAGGGGTTAAACATCAACAGCAACACGTGACAACTTGCAGGTACTTAATCTATCAGTCCTTTGAGAGGACAAACCGCTAACTATCACTGGAGTCCGTTTCGGAACTACTTTCAGACGAATCACTGCTATCCGAGGAATCACTACGCCAGGATGACTTACCCCTCCAGTTTGAGTTATCCTGCCGCCTTGGCTGTCTAGAGCTGAGTCTGGGTAATGCAAATCTCTTGTCGGTGGACCCTTCCACTTTGTGAGAGGGGTGCGACTTGGAGAGGGAATTCAGAGGCGCCGTGGTTTCTGAAACGGTGTAAAAGTTTCTTAAAGGAGACTTAGCAGCACCCCCCTTCAGGGCGTCCACTGACTGGCAGCTGTTGGCTCTGTAACCACGGAAACCACCTCTGGGATTCTGATTGGTCAACCCCCCTGGTGTTAACTTAGCAGGCTGACTATTGGCTGCTTCATCTGCTCCCTCTGATCCCGCTTTCCTGTCTTCTTCATTTTCAAATGTGGATTCTGGGGATTTCCTTGGTCCAAACTGTTCGTCCTTTAAAACAAACAAAGTTAATGAAGCTACTATCATTTCGATACGATATACTTCACGTGATAAAATTGATCTCTTACTCATTATGAAAGTAAATTCAATGACACCATTAGCCTCGTCCACTGTATGAAAAGTCTGATAACGGTTGGCTTACAACCCCCCCCCCCAAAAAAAGCCAAAGAGTGACTCTTGGAGCATTTCTCATTAGGGCATTTTTGCCATCCCACCCAAAAAAAACTTCAGCGCACCCATGTTTTACCCTCAGCAAATAAAAGACCCATCCTTGGACCCAACTGGCCACGCCAAGGTGCTCCACTCCATCATGAGTGCACCCGAAATCTAAATGAAGAGCTCCTCACCAAGACAGCTTCCTGCTCCTTGATCAAATCCTCCAGGGCCTTCTTCCATCCTAAAACCCTGGCAAACCGCTGGACGCACTCCACCAGGTCTCCTGTCACCGCGACGTCATTGAAGCGGCCTGAACGCGGCCGGGCAAAGGGGCCCACCGCCTCCCGGTTGATCAGCAACCTGGGAACGTACCCCCTGGCCGAGTTGACGATACCCGCAAAGGGCTGGACCTTGAAAGGATCAGATGAAAAATATGACCACCAAGTCTAAACTCTGCTTTACCTGTACGAACATGCAGGAAGTCCCCACAAAAAAACATCATTCCTATGTAAACACACACCATCTGTGTTCCTGCACAGAGCGGATTATTTCAGCGTCCTCAACTTAAGAGGTTCTACAGATTAGTGGCTACTTGACTATACCAGAAATGGCTACCATAACAGAACACCCTAGCACTTTTTTTTACCTCTAACGAAGTACCCATGACTATGACGAGGTCACACTGGGCAAAGTCCTTCAGATAGTAAAAGAACCTCTTCGGCAGGTCCTCACCAAAGAAGACAATGTCCGGCTTGACTTTACCCTTCAAAAATTGGAAAATTCAACAGAGGTCTGGCTCAAAAATTACTCAATAAACACTCAAATGCACTCAGCAATGTTTGGTGAATTTAACCGTCTAGTTATTATTAGAGGTGTGTAAACACAGGAACAATTAATTCTCAGCGAACAGTCAAGATCGAAAGTGGAGAGACAGTTGGCAAAACTGGAAGACTCACTCTTACCCTACAAGATCGTTGTTTGCAAATTGGTGTCACATCATTCATGATCTCTGCCTGTTGGAAATGAGAGAAAAAAGTTTTGAATAAAGAGTATTGCTGCAGAGGTACAACGCAGAAATGTTGATCTCAAGGTCTTCTCAAGTCTGAGCTCCTACAGAAATTCTCCAAATTATAGCAGAAAAAAAATCTTTCTAACCATCATTCAAATTGAAAATGCACACTTACTTTTGTGTCGTCCCCGTCATATTTCTCTCCGCATCGCGTACACGTTGATGTCGCAAATGTCCCATGAGCCTCCACAAGCTTGGCAGCTGGAATCCCTGCCACTGTAAATGGAGACACATATTCTCTTGGGATTAAGAAAAAGCACAAGACCCAAGCCAGACCAAGAGAGGGCGCAATATTCCTACTAACAGAGGCTCCTTGGTGGGAACTCCACTTCGCTGGTTCACAAATGACTATGCGTTGCGATCGCGAAATGATCCCCAACAACATGGTCCTTTTCAACCAATGATGGGGTCCTGCTCTGGGCAGATAGAAATTTGACATACAGTGTCGTTTCTGCATCTAGCAGCAACAATCCGACAGTTAGACATTGCCCAAACTTACTTCTCTCCAGGCCGTCGATATTCTGTGTGTACATCCGTAAGAGGATTCCCTTCTCGTGCAGCATCCTGACAAAATAGTGGACGTAATTTGGCCGGTAGTTCCCCGGGTAAAGCTCCTTGGCCAAGGTGAAGAAAGGTCGGGGGTCACGGTGGAAGAAGTCGATGTCAAATATGGCCTCGGGATAAGGGATTTTGTACTGCTGCAGGTTGTCATAGAGACCAGATCCCGGGGATCTATTGAGAGTAAGATCATTACAGATTTCAAACAACTCAGGAATAACAGACACAACGACAGGGGAGGGGAGAGTAGTGGGTGCCCCGGGGTGCCTCACAATTGCACTTTCGAAAGAGTGAAATGAACAACCTATACAAAAGCATTTTAATTACTTTTAAAACCCCTCCCCCCTTGTTTGAGAGGTTTATCGAGGGTAGTCTCTCAACTTAACAGTATTGATGCTGACCTGAAATCTGGGATTCCACTCGGAGTGCTGATGCCAGCCCCGGCCATGACGACAATGTTGTGGCTTTTCTTGGTCAGGATCCAGCGAGCCACGTCCTCCAAGCTCTTACAGACGTGACTGCTACTTGCCGCTGAGCTACTGCGACGAGATGACTGGGCACTAATTAGAACAAAAACCCAGCAAATTATAGAGTATGAATCGACACGGAAAGTCTCAAATACATGTATACCAGTGGCGCTATCATGTGGTCATTACCAAAGCAAGGAACGGTAACTCCCAGTCTTGGCCCAATGCGTAAGAGACTGACAGGGATTGTTGCATTTGTCAAGCACTAGTATGGCCTATCACAACAATCGATCCATTATCGATCACTGGCGCCTTGGACAAAGACCAGCTCAAAAGAAAATATGACCAGGCAAAATGTCTTTTAACCACATGCTGCCAGTGGCAGTTATCAATGTTGATGATGCTAGGCTGGGATAATTATTTTTTTTTTCAGTTGTAAAAATTCTTTAAAAATTCCTATCTTCATTTACTGCACACTTACAAACACCTGAAGGACTGCCTGGTATCCACTCTAGCCTGACAGACAAAATCTATTGACGCCTGAGTATTTCAGCCAGGCCTGCAGCCTTGTAAAAAGAGCCCAGATTGTGCGGTATTATATAACTTTCTTTTGTTCACAAACCTGGCACAGTGTGCTGTTGACCTGTTTTCAATAGGGGCCAGAATAGCATGCAGCCGTGCTGTGTGGCTCATCGCTGCTTTTGTCCCTGGTGGTAATCCGCTCACTCTAAATGCCCCAAACCATGGTATACTGTTTCAAAACTAGGCTGGATTATCTCCACTTTTGAGATGAAAAATTTCAGTAATGCCCAGAAGCCTGGTCTTTTGTTCCGAGTACGGTCTTTTGTTACAAGGCCCAGTTTCCTTTGTCCGAGTTCGGAGACCCCGGCCAAGCATTTAAAGCATAGTGTCCGGAACCGGAATCCCCGGCAGGAAGTGGTTAAGCAAACATTCAGGGAACCTGTCATGAGCAAGATGAGCTGTATACATCACATGACATTTTGGGCTGGTAACCATACTAGCGAAGCCAAACTGTTCTGGGCTATTTAAAGTAAACATTGCACACATGGCAGCTCGATCCATGCCACAGGCTTCAGTGGTTGAATACACACCTCGATGCTGATTTCCTGTCTTGAATTGTCAACTTCTGGAAGGACTTTGAGATCCCTGCATCCGACTGGCTGTTTCTCAGTCGGTGCTGGCGGACGTTACGCTTCGTGTTGACGTTGCCTGCGCTGCTGGAAGTGGTCAACTTTCGAGTTGGGGAAGAGGTTCTGTCAGGAAGGCTTGCTGTTGTTGATTTCGGACGAACATCAAATGCCGCTTGCACTCTCCCTGATGTGACAGTAAATAAATACATGTAGAAATCCATTAATTTTGTTAGTCACTGATGAACTGACTTTTATCTATGAACAGTGCCTCAGCCCTGACACTACAGCGTATCAAAGGGGCACGGCAAGTTTTGCCTTGACTTTGTATAAAAAAGCAGGGCACCTAGGCAATTTTCAGAATTATCAAAGGGCTTTAAGGAAACAGTACCATTATTGCATAGGGCTTTAAGGCAATTTTGTAAAAGGGACATTGCTAAAACTAAAGATGCAAACATATCCAGTTTGCTGCATTTTGAACTCTTGAACTTTGAAGTTGGAGAATAAGACTTTTAATCGGTCAGGACATTTAGTGGGCTGGCAAAAGTACAGTGGTCTAGGTACAGACTCGAACCTAAGCTCATCACGCGCGATAGTTTAGTCCAAGCCACGCCATTTGTGCGAGTTAGCTGGTCATGCATGCAAATGCATAATATATTGAAAATGACACTTCGATTTCATGCAGACACCAGTGAAAGTTGGCAACCAAGGTGTGCTGCACACTCCCTCTAGCAAATCACTCAGGCCTATGTGTGTTGCTGTGCAACGTACATAATACTATAGGCCTACATGTACTGTGTGGATGTACAATCATAAGTGTACACAGGTTTTGACATCACAGAACAAAAATAAGCCTTCTAAAAATATGGCGTTGCCTGCCTTGTAGGAACTCGAGGGTACGACGACGGCAGCACTCTGGAAAGCTACAGACAGTCGTCGTGAAAATGGGCATTTTTAAAAGGCATCACGGCAATGGCTGAGCACGCAGGCAATTGCTGTAATGTAATATCAGGACTGGCGCCTTCATCAGTCATGTCCGTAATTAAAAAATTAATGCAATTTTGATTTCACCAGCAGACATCGGGACATGGCAAAAGTGATAAAATAAAATAACTGATTCCAAATAGTACACTTCTATACTCTAAAAGACAGAAGTCTCACCCTTTGAAAGCTTGTTGTTTCGCTTCTTTGTAGCCATGGTGGATTTTGCAGTACCGGGGTTGCCTCGAATCGACGCTGCGGTCGCACTGCCAGCGTTTTGCTTGGTGACGTTGGTCAACGAACTCGCCATATTTACCGCCAAAAATTGCATCTCCAACAGAACATTTCGTCCTAACGAAGGCCACATTGTTCTTTCTGACGAGACGTCTTACGGAAAGACATCCTCTTGAAAGTTTTGATTCACTTAAAACACAGCTTCAAGGAGATAAAATCTCGGTCACAGAGTTCCCGTCCACAAGGCACAGAGACATTATTTCTGAAATGGCAAATTACTACCGATTGGTGGCGCTATGCAAGCCGTTACAAGAAAAAATAACGCACACAAATTGCTCTCATTCAGACGAAAACCTTCTTTTAGACGAAAACTTTCAAAATGTTTGACACATAGCTCCACGTAAAGAGAGGGAACATTATCAAAGGAATCTCAGGGGTGGGAGAGAATTCCTGGAAACTACATGTTTTAACCAAAATTTTTTGCTCATCTGAAAATACATGGAGTTTCATTTGTTGATATTTCGTCGAAATTTTACAGTTCTGGAAGTTTTGTTCTCATCTGCAGACGCAATGCAGCAAGGTACTAAGTAACATAAAAGCCTCTATTCAGAAGTGTTTACTTAGAGAATGAACGTCTGATGAACAACTAATAATAATAAAAGAACACAATCATTTCGGCATTTTAAGCGAATGTAACTTTAATTTCCTACGAATTCCACAGCAAAAAAAGTTTATACCATGTAACGTGAGCTATTTTTCGATGACGATTAGCATTATCTAGCGCATTACACTTACAGACAGATTATTTTGCCAATCAGTCACGCGGTATTTTGTAATGATACCCATAACAAAGGTTATATGCACCGACGGCAAATCAATCATCAAAAAAACAACAGAAAAAGTCCCGTCAAAATAACAAACAAGGACTTCTTCACTTGCTTCGTGATCACACAATAATTATTAGCATGGACGGCGGTATAATAAACTCTCTAGGCCTATATAGGCCTATTCCATTCAATAAGCAAAAAACAAAAACTTATTAATCAGTAAATCTAGAATTAGTGCTACTTTTCCTCTGAGTAAAATAAGTTTATAGGTTTTAAAAAATACTCTTCTTCGAATGTATAACAGCAAAAATAAAACTGCCGCAAGCGCAGATATCATAATACAGCTGCATTAATGAAAATGACACCAAGCGATGTCGCTTTGATTTAAAACTTGTTCCATAGTAAAGGTATCAAACTCACGAATAATTAAGCATATGCGCCTGAGAAAAAAAACAGAGCATTATTTTTGTTAGGTGTACAGATTTTTGAAAATTATTTGCCATTCAAAGGTGCTGATTTGATATCTTTGTGCAGAGTGATCATGAGAGTCACAAAACCTTCCTCTAGCAATCTTACACTTAGGAGTGTAACCCAATCCTGCAATTTCAGAGTCCATTACTGATGCTAAATTCCTTGGTGCACATCGAGGCTGATAAGGTTAACATGGCCTGCCCAAGGTCAAAACATATGCAACCAGCTAGCACATTCAAAACCCTGACGTTAGAGCCTATACAATCGGGAGTTACAAACGCTTACCGTCATGCAGTCGTTAAAGACGGTTGGTTAAAAGTTATTCCAGGGGTTACAAGTTTCTGTATATAGTCCCATGTTACTGTTGCACCTTCTGAACCTGCTCGCATGGGAGGGACTTTGAACACGTCAACCATCAAAACGGCATTTAGGGCAGCATTAAGGAAGAGGCTAGCTCCGAATTACTGGAGTATGTGGAAATTAGACTGCTTATAGTAACACTCAAACGTCAAGAAGTAAACCTGTTTACAGGATGCTCAAAGATGAGATTCCATGAACACTGGGCCAGCATTGGAGGTTGCTGGAAGCTCGTTCGAGGTAACCTCCTCTGCCCCAAACAACTGCAGATCATCGGCAACGTCTTGGAGGCCTAAACTTCCCAGTGCTGCAAGGAGTATCTCTACCGTCGCTTCGCGACCTCGGCTCATCTTCCAACCCGAGAGGGCGCAGTGGATCTGCTCACGGGGGTCGTGAGGGTTACTCTCAACGATGTGGTCGATGCCGTTTTTGGCGCCTTTTCCCATCAGCTTACGGTATAGCGGTCGCCATTTGTCATAGGGCAGTAGCCCGGAGATGAACTCCACGTGGTCATCTGTGATTATATCTTTTGGAGGGAAAACAGCATGCACCAAACATAATTATTATCAACACTCGAGCAAAAGTCATAAGTAGAACAAAATCCATCGATGTGTGTCTGATCTTTTAAAGAAATTAACCATTAACTTATCCCTCAATTTTTTAAAAAAGTCAGAATAGGTTTTAAAAGAAGACAGAATAAAAGTAGACTTAAATCATGCTTCGTTTGACCGAGCAAATAGGACGGCGTAAACTGCCACTTCACATATAGGCCTACCTTCTATGCTCATTGGCATATTGTTGTTGTTCTTGGAAATTTGCGTGGGTCTCTGTGAAAACAAACAAACAACCCAACAAACAAACAAACAAACAAACAAGAAATTCAAATATGTAAAGATTTATGCATTTTATGCAACCATCCTCTAACTTTCCTCTCTCTCTGGAACAGTAATTAACATCCTTCATGCGCAAGGCCTCACCGACTTTCTGTAATGTGCAAACCTGTTTGACTCAAAACAGCAATAACAGGTTGCCTGGGAACGTTTTTGCTATACGACTGAGAATAACACGTGCAACTATCAAAGCCATTGTGTAAGCGGCTGAAGACATTCCCATAGCTGCGTGTACTAAACCGATAGCCACATCCAGTAATATGACAGCAGCACTGCCATTACCTTTGAAAGAGGTGCGGTGACGAGGATTGGCGTCACAAGATCAGCCTCGGGCATGGTGTTCTTGATTCGGACCATCGCTTGGAAGAAAGTAAGAAACTCGCCATTGTCGAGATTCTTCGGATGGAAGGAGAACATCTCCCGGGCCGACAAGAGGGGAGAACAGCAGCATCGGATGACTGATTCAACGGACATCACCTGGGTGTATGAAAAGACCGGTAATCAGACACAATTGATTAAATTTCGCTCTGCTTTTCCCTATTCTTAACAGGAACTCATTTTCTATACAAAAATTCAGGATTTCTGACTTTCTTTTGGTTTTGATTGTTGGTAATTGCAAACGCATGTTCGCATCTTATTTTCAGTAAAAAAAACAGCCAGTCGATAATTAAGCTTTATCAAAAATCCGTCTTACTCGCTGTGCAGGGTGGAGTCCTTGGAAGGTTTGTAGCATCCATTTCCAGTCGGCACCCATGCTTTCCTTGTCAACCTGGATGGCGAGCCATGAAGGTTCACCAGATTTGTATTCCAGTTTAAGAGGGAAATATCCCGTCATTCCACTTTGGGCACCCACGCATTTGCTCGCCCTTTCGTTCTTCTCCACGTTAGCTTTGCGTGTGTCCTATTGAGATCGGTACAACAGAAAGTTCATTTTACAAGGTAGGCCTGAAACTAAAAAAGATGGAAAATCAGAGTCTTGTGCATGGAACTTCAAAAGGAACATTGAAAAGCAGCTTTTAATTCAAAAAGGTGTATTTGTTTTTTGTGTAGGCCTAACCTTGAGAAACCTCGCAAACCGCGACGTTTTGTTTGATATTTCAACTGACAAAATGAGAAATTCATTAAACAACACAGATACTGCATAATTATGCAGTCTGTAATGAAACCCATTCAAGTTGAGTAAACTGTATTCGTATTCGCAGTGCCCTTTTACATACCTTTATGGTGTCAATGATGTAAACATTAAGGTCCATTTGTTGGTGACCTTCGACCTTGAAGTGTTTCCAGTAGACAACAACTTCTAGGTTCAGAGGATGCTTCTCATTGCACCCTGTGCAGACATACTCCGAGAAATGAGAAGTTGAGATGTTAATGTACTTCTCATCCACTTTAAAATTTACCCGACTTGAATCTCTGGAGTGCCTGTCTGCTTTTCCTGAGTGCCACCTCTTCTCTACCCAACCCCACTTTGACTTGGCGTTCGCGTCCTCACCACGAAGAAACGCGGTAGCTTCAGGGTCTTGAGAAGAGGTGGTTGGAGTTGGATCAGAGAGCGAGACGTCATTGGTGTCAGCGGTGGGATCTGTGAAATGTACAATAAAGGTCCAACCTGGCTGCAATCGTGCACGGTGCGGAAGCCGTATTTTGACATCTCTCGTGAACTTCTCAAGACCGGGAGATTCCATTTCTACCAGAGGGGTGAGCCACAAGGCGCTGGGGTCTCTAATCTTGGGCCCAATGGAGTGCGGACACAGCGAGATCCTCGCAATGATGAGCTGCTCTTGGTGTTCGGCTGGAATAGCACCTTGGGGGATCTCTAGGATGACATCTGAGTCTTCACAGGACAGGATGCCCCCTTCTGGACCAAACCGACCAATCATGACCAACCAGAAAGGATCTTTTCCGCGGAGGACCTGAATGGGAGCAGGTGAGCCAACGTCTTCCGCAGGGGGTGCAGAAACTGTTTGGGCGCCTTGCTCGTATAAACTAGGCTCACGGAAGACATTCAAGTTGTTCTCCTTGGATCGATGGACCTCAACCAGAGGTACCTCAGAGTAGGATTCCCTGGAATTGCAAGCTGACAAGGAACTCTCCACTAGACTACTTGTCTGGTGTTTCGGTCGACACCTGCGATGATTTGTCTCTTATTTACATGTACCTGGTTGCTAATTGATGGCAGAGGAGACGTTGCTTGATGTCTTGATGATGGTGTGAGACCCAGTTGATGAGCTGAGGACTCATTATTGATGCTTCCGTAGCAGTGATGCGTCTTTGTGTACTTAATCCTATATTTTAACCCCTTGTGACATCTTGGAACGGAAAAAGAATAGCAAATGATAAGGGAAACTTGTTTAAAATCGTCTAAGCAAGTTGCTCTGATACAAATTTAAAATTAATTTTCTCCTTTGCATCGATGTGTAAAAGGAAGTGTACTATGACCCGCTTCGGGTGAAGGGGGAGGGGCTGACACAGAACATAAGCATATTTCGTACACCTAGACAGGAAATAAATGTGAAAGAAAGTACTATACGTCACCTCACTGCTGTGATAATTAACATAAAAAGGAAGAGAACATTCAAAAAGACAACTCCAGCTGTTATGATGGTGATGCGCGTCCCCGTCGGTTTATGATGCGGAGAAGACGATGGTAGATCTACTTCACGATTGACTGCAGGTAGATCATCGCGATTACCAAGCTTCGGAATGTGAAAATGAAATCCTGTTCTCGTGGACGTCACTCTTGTTGTGGGCAAAGGCTGGCTTGCCGTGGTCTTACCGGGGTCAGTCGAGACAAGTGGTACTGTGTAAAAACAAGCAATTATCACGAGACGGCTGTACATACTTCCCTTTAACATACGCACAAGAGAGACGCGTGACATAACTGCTTCTACTTTATACCAACTTAAACAGCAACAGAAAGTTTCTCATCTAACGCTTGCATTTTCTATAATTTCTAAGTTGAAATAAAATGAATAGCGTCAATTTTAAGTGCAAGGGAGGCAGACATTTCATAAATACACGTCCTCACCACAATCCAAATTGTCCGCGTCGACCACCTCGTCAGAGTTCTCGCGCTTGACACCGAAGTCATCGCACAGCGTGTTGCTTCTCCCGTGACAGGGAAGCAGTAGAGGTATTCCCGGGGGACAAACACGGCAGGGATAGCAAGAGTAGAATCTGTGCGTGTATCCAATTATTTATGGAAAGGAAGTAATAAATAAAAGGTGACTAAAACAATATTCAAAATGCGGCTATGGCTTAAGGGTGCTGGGGAAAAAAATCATGGAGTCTCAGGCCATGTCCCAAACGGGCTTCCAGACCTACAGCTAGGTCTATTTTCAACGCGTCTCCACATATTTCCAATGGAGCGAAAACCTGGACCTAGATCTAGATTCGGATGCAGCCTCAGCACCTGTTGAAAGCAATTAGAACTGATTAAACAGTGTGTAAAAATCTGTGCATAAATAGAAAGGTTAACACAATTAGCAGCTGTACGTTGCCCCATCTCACAGTACCTCATTACCGTCTGATCTCCATGCAGTGTCAGCATTTTTGTATGCCAACTAGTCCTTGAGACAGTATCGAAACTAGTGTGAAAACGGCAGTCGTACTAACCTTAATTCGTCTCGCTTGTTGACATAAAACTTCAATTCGCTCCGTTGGCTTGAATCGAGAGAAACTATGTCACGGACGACGACAACATACTGGAGATGTAGGGCACAGTGGGGCTCGGAAATGGATTCTCCTGTGCTGTTTACACCATACGTATTATTAATGAGGATTTCGTAGAGTTCGGGATCGCGCCTAAGGTGACGGCGAAGTTTCTTGCTCAGATTCGCTTTCTCATCTCGCTTTGCTTCGTCCTGCCGGTTCACTTCTACGCGTTCCTTGGTGCCTCCTTCATCAACGCGTTCCTTTCGATTGCGTCCCCGACTACCACTCCGCTTTATTTTGAGCTTCACTGCGCACTCCTTTTCTAGCTCTGGAAAAAGACAGCTGACATCTTTGGCAACCTCTATGCTGACCAGACTCCTCCCAGCAGCATCGACAGCATAGGCTAAAGTCTGATGTTTCTGAGTGCTCCCTCCGATCAGCCAAACCGAGAGCGAAATGAGCAGCAGAAGCGACGCCCTGCTGAGGACATGGCAGAAAGATTGACCACGACACATCGTAATGCGGGTCTGGAAAACTGGTGAGAAAGATCAAAATCAACGAAAAAAAAACAAATCAACGAATTGTAGAAACGCTGAAATAATACGCGGGGAAGCACTGTAAACAGACTTGCACTTGTCCATGTATTTGTACAGCGACAAGCAGATCGTTTGATGACTAATAACCAACTCAACACAGTCAACAATAGATACCGAACATCATTATACCTGGTAAAATTCCTCAAGTCCCAGATTTTAAGTTTTGTTATGTCTGCCTGTTCAATGCGCCTTTACCGACCCATTCACACAAACCACTGCGCAGGCTGGAGTTTGGAGTTTAGCACGTTATCTGAACTCTCTGCCAACCCTGACATCACAGGCAAGAATAGTCACACAATCAAACTGGGATAAAAATACCTGCCTTTGATCAAGTCAAAGTAAACAGACTTGCACCTGTTCAGTCTGACAAAGAAAGCATCGTTGGCAACTGTTTGGCGCTGCTTTCTTTGTCTGCGATATTGAATGGCTCCAAACTAGGAAACATTCCCGCCATTCTGGACAGAGTCGTAATCCAGGACAATCATGCAGTTTCATAGCAAACACAAAATGCATCAGGAAGAGACACCATAAAAGTGCACCAAACAGAGGTACAAAGTCCGACCTAAATAATTCCCTAAGCTTCCACCAAAAGTTGGGAACTTACACTCGGCATATAATTCTATTGTTTTATCACCAGTAATATAAAAAAATCATCTAAACCGAACATAGTTTTCGCTCAAGAACGGCATAACACCATTACTGCGTTAGCTTCAAACCATGAACTACGAACAGTCAACATTGTGACGCCACAGCACTAAAAGATCAGATTGGTATGGGGGTACACTGAGCTGCGCACGCGCCGATCCTAATACGCAGTTCTTTCCTGCATAGAGGAGTATCGAAATGTTACTTCATCGATCGTTTACTTCATTGGTATTGAAAAGTTTATAAAAAAGTACTTACAAGTTTGATGTAGGACAGCTTAGAAGGTTTGGCAATCCAGGAGTCCAACTATCTTTCACAGGCCGATCAGACGGGATAAGTGAAGATGTGCACACGTAAGCCTTCAGCAACACAGGAACTAATGTATAGCGACATCGAAATCCTAAAAACAGGGTATCACATCAACAAACAAAGTTCCGACAATGGAAAGAGGCGGAGATAGTCGAAGTCCAAGACAAAGGGTAGCTCAATTGCGCAATCCGGGGTTTCCCTTTGCCGCGGCGAGAACGAGTCAAAGTCCGTCACGGTCCATCGCCCAGTCTGGCAATGGCCCGCATGGCCTTGTGTTCAGTCTGTTCCAACTTAGGCTCCCTTGAAGTCCTTCTTTCAAAATTGCATAAATGTCTGATAGACTTCGCAATGAAAACAAAAATTAGAAATTTGTGAACTAATATCGCAGGATTAGTTTTTACTTTACTATTAATAAGCCAATTCCACATTCCAAGTGCGCATGTGCACATCGAGATTGACGAGTTGTACTTAGTTCTAGATGGACAAAAACAAATGAAATTGGCAATACAGAAGATACACTAACCGACCATGCACTCAACGGATTTTTATCGTCAATGAGCATTTTAATTATTACTCTTTTAAACAAAAAATGACAATCGACAAAACATTATATATACTTATCAACATTGAATAGAAGTCGTATGATCTGATTTATTAAGACAAGTTCATTTACAGAATGGATCCGTTAACATTCAAACAATTAACAGACCAGCTTTTGAATTATGGCCATCAAAGCATTGAAGTCTGCGTAGAGACATCAGAGGTACAGTTTTCCAGATGAATTTTCGTTTTCATCAATGGCCGACGAGTGGTACGACTGATTGGCGCGAGCGTCAGAGCGGCACCTACTCTAAATCGGTCCGGACAGCATGCCGAGAGAAGCACACGCGAATATAGCCGCAGTGACAAGAAGGCTCCATGTGTAGTCTCCCGTTAAGTCGCGAAGGCCACCTGAGAAACACGTGCACTTCCTACTCGTTCGTGAACCAGCAAAGTTGAGTTTCGACCAAAGGAGCCTCCGTTTCTAAACGGAAATTTCGCCCTATCGTGGTTTAGCAAGGAGCTCGTACATGTACATGTATTCCCCGCACTACATAGAGCTACTTAGCGTACTTAGACTTAAGAGACCTAAAAAAAACCTAAAAATAATTCCAACTTTTTGGCGCCACCAATACATATTTTTGTTCCCCCCTCTTGAGAATTAAAACAACCATCGCTGAGACACAAGTGGACAATTTCAATACAACGCCCCAACTCCATTGGTTGACTCACAAAATCTGTACTCACACAAAGTGTCTCAGTCTATCTGTAATTTTCATGGACTCATCCAAACAACACAAATTCATAAGTGATTAAATAGAAAACCGTGTTATTACAAAAGCTGTGAAAAAATATGTGAACATTTCTTGATTGTACTATGTCTTTATAAACGGCCATAAATAGACTAATTTATAATAAATACATTAAACAGTCCTGAACAGTCGGTATAAAAACTTTGTGTAAATATTAGAAAAACAGTAGACGTTCACGTTATTTTCTCAGTTAAAGATGGCCAAATTACTTAATTTGAAAACTCTTCAGTATACGGCCAAAACGGTTGAAATGCTTGAGGGTGACAATGCTTTGCATGAACACATTACCAAACTTCACAAGATGAATAGGTTGTCCGAGTTATTTGGCTCCAGCTTGAAATTATACACGAGTCCATGGAACGCGGCTACAACTGCTACCACAAACACGTGCGTGTCAACCGTAGCCAAGTAACTAAGACACGGTCATTTATCCCTAAAGTTATGAATTCTCTTATCCACCATTAAAACTACCTCTTTAAACCTGGGGGACTAGTTTGTTTTGACACTTGCTGCTCAGAGATTACAAAATACTTTAAACAAGATGCTAAATACCGTGTGTAAATTGCTGGCAATTTCAATTCTTTCTTCTCTGACTACGCCACTGACTCTTACTTCTAAGCAGAAACAGCTTATTGAGAATAAGCCAAGGTTGGTGGCTGAAATGAGTGTACCCCGCAGATATGAGAGGTAGGCTATAGTAACCATCATTACCAAGTATGCTTTGAAAGCAATGCAGAACATCTTTACTGTTGAAATGTACGACCCCGTCTCGGTATGTCTTAATGGCCGATCTACGGAATTTAGGAACTTGTTCAAGTCACACTTGTTCCGGGTAGATGGGATTTCTGTTTGCATCTGTCTTCTCACGATATATAAAAGGCACAAAAAATGAATCCTCTTGGGTGGTTGCTTATTGAAATTCACCTCTGGTTTTAAACGTGAGTTTCTTGACACACTGATTGTGAGTCGTCATGGATGATAAGTTCGTATTTGATCTCTTTTGGCTGCCGCAAATCTTCTGCTATGTCTTTTTGCCCCACTGCTTCCAATGCCAACATCAGGTCTCTGAGCGTCGCAAGACGTCCCAGGCTCTTCCTCCAGCTTACCAGGGCTTCGTGGATCTGTTCAGCGGTGTTATCGGGGTATCTGGCAGCGATGTGCTCGATCCCGACGTCCGCACCGTCGCCCATCAGCCTCCGGTACAAGGGCCGCCATTTCTTGACCGACAGTTTCTCTTCGACAAGCTGGATGTGGGCATCTGTGACGACACCTGATGCAAAAAAAAGGTGAATGGATCGACAAAACAAGGAGTTACATTTTCTACAAATCTGTGGGAGTTAGAGAAAAAGATGAGGTATTCGTTAATAATCGTAATTTGAAATCGCTCTTCCGTGAAAGATGTACGCTTGTTCTCTCAAAACTACTCCACACCATTATACCATAGAGCTATTAAAAACATACAGCTCTATGCTCCATACAAGTAAGACAGAAAACTACAAAGGGTCTCACCTTCTTCTTTGTTGCTTGCATTCAAATACGATCCCGTCAGTTTCTAGGAGAAAGAGAAAGAAGTGTGCATCATTATGTATCAATAATAACAATGACAAAATAATGTTACTGCCAGCAGTATTTTGCTTTCACGCATCACATCTGGCAAGATTCTGTGCAAGGGTAAATTACGCAGATTTCTGTCGCCCAACTCGCGCCGCCAATCTTCTCCAAGATCAATACTAAAGCAACCAACTGTGACCCAATGGTCACTCATCAAAAGTAGCGCGCGCCTAGCAGACTATTGAAACTTGAAAATGTAGCACTTGCATACCGTGAGCAACATCTGCACACACTGATTGATACTGTTCATAAGTAACCCAAGCAGTGAAAGTAATTCCTCGTCTTACCTTTGCTGACAGAGGTACAGTGACAAGGATGTGTGTCGGTTCCCCCTTGGGCCAGTTCTGCTGCTTAACGCAGATTATCGCCTGGAAGAGAGTCAATTCCTTCACTTCAGCCGGGTTCTTTGGACTGAACGAGAATGTCTGGCGGGAGAACAGTAATGGTGAGCAACATCGAATCAGCGACTGGATTGGAAACACCTGAAAAAGATCAAAGAGAGAACCCAGAGTTGATTGATCATGTGCTGCTTTTGTTGTCTTCAACACAGAGAACGGTGTTTAACTACAATCAGGGCAATTGACTTGAGTTCACAACTACGAAACACTCACTTTTTTAGCTGGTAGACATCCATTGTAGGTATCTAGTCTCCACTTCCAGTGGTCTCCCATGCAATCTTCCTGGACACTGATCTCAAGAGGGGAAGTTTCTTTGTTCTTCTTCTTGTAGCCCAGGATGAGTGGGTAGTAACCAGTGTGGCACTCACTGCCTCGTTCGTTCTCCTTCACATGAGCCCGTGAATCCTGTTACATTTAGAACGAGAAAAAAATTTAACTAAACAGTTTGATTCTTGCAAAATGCACGATAAAGACTCTTAATAATTTCAGTTATCTAATAACTGTTTTAGAACCGTGATGTTTCTTACCTTTATTGGATCTAGAATGTAAACATTCAGATCCATTTGCTCACGACCTTCGACCTTAGTGTGGTTCCAGTAAACTACAGCCTCCAAGTGAAGTGGATGTTCTTTGTGACACCCAGAGCAGCTGTATTTCGAGAAGTGTGAAGTTGAGATATTGAAGTATTTCTCATCCACTGTGAAAGTCACGTCCCCTCCTTCCTCAGAAACTCTGCGACAGCTTTTTCCTGACTTGGTCAGAGTGCACTTGTGTTCAACAAAAAACCATTGTGACTGTGATTTGGCGTCATCGGGCAGTAGGGCCCCGTCACTCTCTGGCTCTTGGTTAAAGTTACCAGGATTTGAATTGGTGGCAGCAGTGGGATTCGTGTAGTTCACACGGAAAGTCCAACCAGGCTTCATGTGAGCACAGTGGGGAAGCCTCATCCTGACATCCTTGTTAAATCTCTCTAGTCCGGGGGACTCAAATTCCACCAACGGAGTCAGCCAGAGGGAGTCCGAATCTTTAAGTTTAGGACCCGCAATATCCGGCCGTAGAGACACTTTGGCAACAATGGTCTGACTGCCGTGGTCAGCTGGGATAGCACCTGGTGGAATTTCCAAAATGACGTCAGAGTCTTCGCAAGCGAGAACACCCCCTTCTGGGCCAAACTGGCCGATCATGACCAACCTATATGGATCTGAACCTTGAAGGACTTGAACAGGGGCACGGGTGGCCACACCTTCCTGTGGAGTGGCCAAACTTGTGTCAGAGCCTCGCTCGTAGCCAGGTTCGCAGAAGACATTCAAGTTACTTTCCTTTGCTCGCTGAGGGATCAGTTCACTGTGAGGGAGGTATCGACCTGAGGTGTTCACTTCTCCAGAGGTCGCTCTGGAAGTAGAACTAACACCAGCATCGTCAGAAGTAACGTTCTGCCTGTTGTCGACTTGATTTTCTACTGACGTTGGCTGCGATGCTGATGGGGTGGCACGTAACCGGGGAGTCGACAAGGCATTATTGAAGCATCCACTTCGAGGTCGTTTGTGCCATTTTTTGCACTTGGATCTATTAATTAAACACAGATAACGACCCAGAGATATGAATAGAATGTAAAATGAGAAAATAAAAGACAGCGCATTAGGAATACAGTTTAAATACAGCAAGTGTTACCATCAGCAGTTGTCCACCTAATTTTGTGCACATTCTGATGAAAACAATTTCCCGTTACCTACCTCTTGTACATGATGACAACTCCAGCAATGGCGAGCATGTTGAGAGTCACCACACCGACTGTTATCAGAGTTATTTGAGGTACAAGTGCTTTATGTGAAGGTGGGGATGCAGTGACTGGCAAGTGAACTTGGTCATTGATGTTGTTGTCCCCAGTGCTCTCGTCTACAACAAACAGGTTGCCAGCCGTGGTCCAAATCATAAATCTCGTATCTGACAATGAGGCAACAGGTGTGGTGGATGGTGAAGGAATCTGCGGAACTGAAACACAACGAATTGATTAAAACACCTATCACTGCACAGAACTTAAGAGATAAGAATTAATGTAGCTTGGCTCTGGTTTCTAATCTGTTGTGTGTGTTTGACAACAGCGTGTAAGCATCCCCTCCAAACGGTCATCTTCCAATTTAAGCTACAGTTCGGGTTTTTCCAGAAGCCACTGTATTTCGACAGTCATCCAGCGACAGTAAAGAATAGAATGATACATCCTGTTTACCAGTCGCTCACTTCTACTTCCACTTTGACGACGAATGATTCAGTCACGATCTAACATCTCACCTCCATGAGGCCACATTTCCTTCATTATTTCATCCGTTCCTTCCTAAAACTTGCTTGTGCATTTTACTGCCGTACAATTTCAATAAACACTCTCCACAACAAAGAACGCATGTACGTTACATACTTAATACTTCAAAGGACTGAAAAAAGCACATCCTTCACGGTTGAATTGATAAACGTACTCAAAGCGCACTGAAAACGGGAATACGAAATGGCGCCTGATTTCGAACTCTTGGCCGACAGATTCCGTGCATACTTTTAGTAAAACAAGAAGAAAATAAATTTCCATCACTGCCCGAATCCCAGCGCGACCTAAGGAAACGTATCTTGTTTAACAGTTTCTGCTCACATGTTTGGTTTTTTTTGGAGGGGGGTTGCAATTGATAATATTTTCATTATCAATTCGGTGGGTAAAAGTTGCGTTCGCTGGTGGGGGGGGGTGAACTTCTTCTTAAAGGAGGATGAGCATCAAAAGATTTCAAACAGATTTTAAAACAGAACTACTGCGTCAATCATAAACACAAATCCATTCGGGAAGCATGGTCGTTTTCGAAAAAAAAAGGTTACGGCAGTCCTGTAACTGTCGGTTAAATAACTTACTGCAGATTTGTCGGTCCACGTCGTACTTGTAGTCGGGGTCGACACATTCTGTACTGCAAATGGTGTCCCGTTTCCGATGACAAGGCGAGAGGATCCGCACACCGGTCGGGCATATTCGGCAGGGTAAGCAAATGTAGTGTCTGCAAGAACAATATTGCAAGTAAAAACAAATTAAACACAAGCCAAACACAAGAGTTCACAATTGACTCTATCATTCTTTTAAAGAGGTGCTTTTTCTATCGAAAGTTGATAGAGTGAAATGATATTTTTACAGACCTGACTTCTCCACGCCTGTTGATGAAAGATCTTACTCGTGGGTCACTCCCGTCGTACCCCTTTCGGAGAATCTCCGCGTACTCATGGTGAAGAAGGCACCTTGGTTCGCGGTCTGTGATGCGCGCCGTCCTTGCAGGCGTTTCGGTCTCGGGAGCTGCGTGTGTGGACACGGGTGCGTCTGCCGTGCGAATGAAACTCGACTCTAGACTGCGTTTCGACAAGGGACGGTCAACGACAGGGAACAGATCACGCAGCCCGATCTCCGTGTTTCCCCTGCTGAGGCTCGCTGATGGGGCCAGGTCGTTCTCTCTCTCCAAGGGTAAGCCTCGAGCCACTTCCACCGTGAGGATCAGAGCTAGCACCCAGATCGGGAGAAAAGAGATATGTCGGATGTGGTCAGTCATCGCTAACCATCTAGATGTCGATCAGTTAGTACCTACCAAACAAATTGGACAAGGGACAAAATATATACTCAGGTAAGCGAGTGTCTGCAGTGAAATCTCTGCGCTTTTTTTACTTTTTTGGTTAGGGTAAGCCTGAGGCATGATTCCGTGAAGGTCGTTGTGTTCTTTTGGGGAGGAATGAGAGATGGTTGGGGGTAATTCACTATCAGTTGAGTAGCTGTAGGCCTACCAAATCTTGCGAAAGGGGTGTCCCTAGATGAAAGTGAAATGAGTAAATTTCTGCACTCTAGTAATAATTTAATTAAATGACGTTTCTTGTCGTCAACATCATGCTGAAGTTACGCTTAAATCCAAGCCGAGTGCAAAAACGGCAGCGTTGTGGCCTCCACTTTCATTTTATTCCTAAGCACACTATAGGGTGATTGGCCAAAGTTTGGAAAAGCAGTGACCGTTTCGGACACGGCTTGATACGGAAAATGGCGGATTGAGGAGAGCCGTAGGAAATGGATTGCGTTAGAGCAAACGATCTAATTGAGCTCAATCTTTTTTTAATATCTCTGTTTGATCTGCAAAAACATAATTAAAGGACTAGAACCATACACTTTAAAGCACTCCATCGTCCATTGAAACAAAAATAATACCACATACTTGCGACTAATTTTATGCATGCATAATAATGAAACTATGCTCTGTAATAATAGAGCCAAATTGAATTCTAAGGCAGTCATATGGTGTGTGAACCAACTTTCACAATATTAAAATTCAATTTCCTTCAACACCTTCATGTATGGCCTACAACTCAAACTTAAGAATCCACAGCACTAGCGCCTCACTGACGGAAGTTATTCAGTTCATCTTTACTTTCACGAGAAAAAGCAAGCAAGCAAACAAACAAACAAACAAACAAACAAACAAACACCCCAACCAACCAACAAACAAATAAACAAACAAACACCCCCCCCAACACCCCAACAAACAAGCAAACATATAAAAAACTTACCAAGCTGGTTGAAATTCTTAGCAGGTGTATCGAACGAACGGATATTTGGTGAAAATGATGATAGTTGCAACGAAACTCTTTATATATAAGGGTTCATGGGGATATCCTCTATTTTTAGAACCGGATGCAGTATAGGAATTTCCCGTAGACTACAGTATTACACAAGGTACGCTGCACTACAATCTGGACAATAATGAAGCATCCTGTTAACCTGTGCTTTTACTTTCATTTTCCATTTCGACGATTAAGTGCTTCAATCGTTTCTAGTTTTTTTTTATGGAAGTGGTCTGCACAGAATACATTGGTTAAAATATTGGGGAGAGGAAGTCGAGGGCAATGGTGAAATCGGAACCCCCCTCCCGAAAATGGTGCGTTCCGAGTTGTATCATCTGTTTTTTATCAAACACACCGTTCTTTCATTTTCGATTTGACCAGTTTATATTGAGTGGTTATAAGTCGTGTGCTGAATCAGGGCAGGCTTTTTTGCCTTTTTTACAGGGTATGTGAAACCAAATCCATGGAAATTTGAAAAAGTTAGGTGCTCTAAATGTACAAGTTTTTTGGGGGGAGAGCATTTTAATCAGTTCAGGGGATGGGGCTTCAGTTCTCTACATTACCAGCAAAGGATTTTATTTAGCCACCGAAATTCTCCTGATAATTTTTGAAACTTCCAGAAAGTTCTTTCAAGCTCTTTTATTGTCGGCAGCAATTTTACACCACTGCACGCATACTGATCGGAACCGCTTTAACTCCACCACTAACCTCCAAAAATATGTACATGTATAACTCTGTCGCTAACGCTACACCAAAGAGCTGTAGTTAGATTACACTTTCTAGAAACTCAAGTCGCTTTGTCCAATGAAACCTTTAAAAACTCCATTCTGAAATTACAATGTGTCAGGTTTTGTTGAAAATTGAGGAGTAGGTCAGTGTTAGCTTACAAATAATTTAATTATCTTAACTTAAGGTGTACTAACATTTAATAATCATTTATACAAAACTTTGTCTTTAGTGAGGGTTGGTTCCACCTTGAATGAATTTGACCCGAGCAAGGAAGGGAGACAGCAAAAGGGGATTTTACTCCGACCACAGACCATTCTTCGCTCCAAAATTTGCGCATCTGCAAGTTCTGTAGTTCAGTTTGAATTTGAAAAACACCGAAAAGTCCTTGCAATAAATGTAAGGAGTATTTCACCTCCTGATAGTAGGCACAAAAACTTTGGCAAGGCGGTGATATCACGGGGATTTCCCAAACAGTGCCCGGTAGCATGCCCGCCTATGACAGCCGAGGTCACGTTATTTCTATAAAAGGATACGTACACCCCAACCCCAAAACAACCCACCTTAGGAACCAAAGTTCACCCTATTGAATAAGTGCACAATGGTAACCACGAAACTGTAAGTATTTTCGTCCTTATAACTTCCTTGTTGGGTAAAGCTGGCGAGTCTCTTCCACCACAGGCTAACTTTTTGTTTCCTTTCAAGAACACTCTATCATTGTTGACGATGACGTAGCTGATTATTTTCGTATTTAAGTCGTGTCGGAACATGGTCGGAATTGCTTGGCTACAGTTTAGAATTAATTACACGCACGTTCACGCAGGCAGCAAGCCAACGGCTTCATGCATTTACCATTGACACGGACGCATAGCTTGAAGTTGCTCTCCGCACGCGCATATCATAAAGAGGGAAAAGGGGATGACCAGTCCACTGGCTTTTGTAATCACAGAGTACTCAAAGAAAAAATGACATTAAAATTATATTGATGACTCATGTTTGAAACGGTTGCGATGGTTGGTCTGCTTTCCTTGAGTTGAAAAAAAAATCTACAGTCGGTTGGAAGCCGGTATGCTTACACAGAAGCAGTTTACAACAGAGGAAGTTGGAAAGTGACGCTTGGGCTTCCCCAAAATCTCGCAATAACTTGGAACAAGGAACAGATTTCCCCAAAGGTCAGTCAGTTTCGCTCAGTCATTCGGCTTCCATCGAGCTATGATAAAGTTCACTCGTCCCTATCGCCCGTAAAGGGCGCTCAGATTGACTGATCGCTTCAGGATCAGTGGCTGACAAAGTTTGTTGGAGCCCTTACTGGATATATATGTTATTAAAACGAAACGACAGTGAGTCCACATTAATTCATGTAAGCTGATTTGAAACAGCCTACATTATTACATGTTACACTGCACCGATGACGTCACTTTTTGTGCGTTTCACAAACAAGCCAGTGGGGGCCCACGGTCCACTGAGCACACACACGTAAATAGAGTGTTGGCGTCATCAGCAGAGAGGTTTATTGAAGTTACCCATTGAGCTTTGCACCTTTCGTGTGTAACTGAATTCCCTTCACTATTTGGAGAGAGCCAACAACCCATCCGTCTGCGCGCGCTGAGGGCGCACGATCGAGTTTGCCACGTCCAAACAACTTTAACCACACCACAGAGGGCGCCAGTTTGGCCATGAGCACACGTGGCCAAGAAGCCTTCATCTGATCTCTGTAACTTGACCGCGCGTTGAAAAGTAAAAACTCACGACAGCTTCAACTTGTCCTCCACTGTTTGTTCTAAACATTTCTTCCTAAAACAGAAATTGGCATCTTTTTATACGTGCTTTGCTGCAAGGACGCCACGCAAACGGAAGTCAATTTTTGGTAAAATATTTGAAAGTTGTCAACAACGCTTTTACATTTTAAACAGAACGAAAACGCAGCGATAAACCACCCGCTAAGCATAATTTAAGAGTTCAATGACTTCTGAAACCCTTGTATGGTTTATTAAATCCCAGTTTTGTTGCCAACTGAACCACATTAATTTCTTCACATTTTGGAATCACATAGGCGATAAATTTTTGCCAATGATTTTGCTGGAAAAACAAAAATAAACTTGAGAGAAACCTCGCTGGCAAATATTATGCCTTTTACACATCGCTGAAAATTCAATTCACGAAGACAGAATTTTCATTTATGAATCAGCTTTTCCATTTTCAAAAAAATGAAATACACTAAGCTATCATTTGGCGGTGAATATAAACTGTACAAAGTGTACGATGTGCTAGGCACAAGCACTGTCGTATCCCTATTGAACCTCTCTACAAATCCTTCAAAATCTACTACATGGCAAAGAAAAATCAATGCAACCAACTTCAATTTAATTCTAACTACCCACATCTCTCTGCAAAGATACAACCTGAATGCACCAAAATCCTTCACCTGCCTCCCTGCTTAAAGGGGAACACATTCTTAACCCTTAAAAAAAGTCCTCCGTTATTGCGTAAATGTGTTCCCTGGAGGTGGGTTCTCCATCCCTCAAATTTCGCCAGCAATACGGGCGATTCACAATAGTGTGCCTCCAAGAGTTTGCAACGCATTGACTAATCACAATGCACGAAATCTGTTGACCCATTCCAAATGCCCAGCGGGTCGACAAATTTTGCGCATTGTGATTGGTCAACGCGTTGCAAACTCTTGCAGGTGCACTTTTGTAAAATGCCCGTATTCCACGTAGTGTCAGAGTCAAGAGATTGTGTGTACAGTACATCACGAAGCAGGGCAGTGTGGATGATCCGCAGTATAATCCAGGCATGTACACTGTGTTGGTGTCAGGCTGAGCACAGACAGCCCAAGGTCCACCCAAGACCTTGAAATAACGCATCCTTTGAAATCATTAACAAGAGCTTTTGCCATACAGCCTCAATCCTTCAGAGCCTTGGGAAAATTTGGAACAGTTAGGATCAAAGGCTTTTCAATCCTAGGTAAGAGGCAAGCAGCTGTGCTCCAAAATCTCCAAAACCTCACCCCGGACTTTGTAGGATTTGGTGAGGTCATGAGTTAAACTACAAGAAATAGCTTTACATACATGTATTTACAGGAATTTAAAGTGGCGGACAAAAAAAAAGAAACATTTAACGGTTTTACCACTTCTGCAAGTCCACTCAAAAGTCATATTCCGACAAAAGCCAGATATGTTTGCTTTGATCTCTTCTCCCACATCCAGCTTCACTAAACCTAAAATTCCTCTGGCATCTAGAACAGTGGAAGGACTAAACCATAGGATTCCTTTCTTCAAATCGCATAAGAAACTGTAATTCAAATGAACAAGAAACAAAAGCAACCAAAGTTTACTTCACCACAGCAGGGAAACTTGAAGAAAAGAGGGCGGAAAAGCACAAGTCCTAGGAGCTGGAGCCATAAATTGTTGTGCAACCAACAATGTTGTGGATAAATCTATGTGTCACAAGTCCCTGCAAGTGCATCACAAGTCATCCAGACTCAAGTCACAAGCTGTAAAAACAAATTTCTTTGTCACAACTCATTCGATTACTTGTGACTGAACTTGTGATGGACTCAATCAATCCCACCATGCATACCTCGTGAAGTACCGAGGCCAGAGCTGCTACACACAATAATGGGCTCCACATGGATCAGTCACAGGTCTTTTTAAGTTTATGGCGCCCTCAAACAGAAAGGTACACCAGGATGGGATAATGGCAGAGCAGAGATTGAGTCAGGACTTACCCCGTTGATGCCAGGTAGTGATAAAATGGTGCTAAGTACTGGAACTCTTCGCAGAAAATTGATAATGACAGGAAAAAATCCTCTGTGGGAGATGCATAAAAAATGATTGATATCAGCCCTAAATCCAAGAGCATCCTTGCTAAAAAGACTCTATTGTTGCGGTTCAGTTAATCCTAAGACCTCACACTTTCCCCAAGTCTGTTACAAGTTCTTATACAACCTCCAAGTCCATCGAAACCCCAGGTCCATCACACGACCTCACACTTCCCCAGGTCCATCACATGACCTCACACTTCCCAAGTCCATTACACGTCCGCACACGTCCTCCAAGTCCATCCCAAGTACTTGTACGATATGTTAAATAAGTCAGCCAGAAGTCCTCACTTCTATCACATGTCCTCAAATTCCATTGTAAGTTTCACATGTACCACAACTTCATCACAAGTCCCAAAGTCCATCACAAGTCCTCACAACCCTCTTAAGTCCATCATTAGTCCTCAGAAGTCCCCAAGTTTATCACATGTATCACGCAAGTCTTCACATATCCACCTAAGTCTGTCACGAGTCATCCAGTTTCAATTCAAGTTATAAGCTATTCAAAAGAACTGTGAGAAAGCATTCCTTTGTAAAAGTTTGCCAATCCTGTGAATGGACTCACAAAGGGGATTATGAGTTATGACCAAGGGTGTGAAAGGACCTGTGATAGACCAAACCTACTTCATTTGCATAAAAACAGGAAAAAGTGTGAAAAAGTGCTGGCTCTACAAAGAACGGGTTGTGAGAGATGATCTCGCAGTCCATGTTTTGAACAACACACCCAATTTGTCATGAGAAAGGTGGCTCTTTTAAGATCCAGCACTAGGTATTCTGTGACATTCCTCTGGCACACCTGCAAAATTTCCTGCTTTAGATCCACACCGCAAAGCTCAAAAGGCCAATGGACCAACTTACCTGAATAATAAGAAAAACCCATACGTTTCAACGAGCATTCCGACTAGAGGCCATCCTATCAGTACGATGACCATACCCCCAATGAAGAAACCTGTGGCTTTAAGCTTGTGTTGCTGGAAAAAGAATCGAAACGTTCGCTCCAAACCGATGACACAAGCTAAGCCAGCCAGGAACAATATCTGCCAAGGAACCGAAGGATCAAAGTCAGATGAAAATCTCTTTCAAATGAAATCTTTCCTTCAGTTACTGATTATGATGCCAAATTACGATATCAAACTCGAGCCGAACAGCTGAATCTGTAAATCAGACACATCATATGATGAGGCTTAAACACTTGCCAGCAGGGGATTCAGTGTTTACGGTTCAAAACTTTTGAAAAACAAAAACTGGTAAAGTGTTTCTGCTCACTGCAACAAGATTGAGCAGATATGGACACCTGTCGCACCGTACTGTGATTAGCACAAGCCTTGCTGCTTATCTGCCAAGACTAAGATATTATTGAGGTAGGGTCTCATATGTAATTCAGAATGGTTGGAACATTCCCTTTGGAACCATTGAGAACTCAGCATACCCATTGCACAGTTGCCTAAAAATGGTCTATGTACAAAGAGGACTGCTCTCTCAATGCTGGAGCATTCCCAACTTATAAGACACTCACTAACAGTGATGAAATATTCAAATATCTGTAAGAAAGGCACGTTTCCTTCAAGTGTGGCTCAACATCGGTGCCACTGACAAATTTTCATTTGATTGTGAGCAGAAGTACTCTCATTTTTATAGGCAAGAAGATATTTATACAAGTAGCCAAACAATGTCATACTTACATTTCCGATAGCCAAGAGACCTTTATCGAAAAGGAAGATGACTCCAAGGAATAGGAAGAACGCACCAAAGCCAGTAAGGCCTATACCAATCTCTGAAAATATAAACAACCCCCCCAAAAAAATTGTCTTAAAGAACAGTTCATGTGGTGAATCAATTACCTACATGTATTCTTCATGTTCTGATATATCTATGTACATGTAAGTGTGGTGGAGCTAGAAATTTGTCATACATTTTGCAAGCGTCTTTTCATAGGAGTAATTCCCTCTAAAAATACAGTTTTTGTTTAGAGTTCCCTCGAACTTTTCTGTTAGTGTATTCCCATATCTACTTTGCTTCAACCCATATAACTTGGCCTCCATGCTCGGACCACACTTAGTCTGAAGATCAGACCAGCAGAGATACTATCACTGCTCATGTATTTTTCCTCCTCACTAGAGTGTGCGTTTCTGCTTGAGTCGGAATTCTGTCTGCTTCTAAAGAGTCAGTCATTAAAAGCCAAACTCTCCTCACTAGATCTATTTTGACACACTGTGTTGGTTTCTAGTCCTTTTGATTTTTCCATCTTTTTCTGGGGGGGGAACTCTTTAATTAACAAATTCTTTTTGTCCCTTTTTTTTTTAAATTGGTGTCTGAGTCCCTATTAATTCATTTTCCTGCAACCTTCCCCTCAAAGATCCCTGAGTAATTAGTTGTTTTTTTTACAGTATTGCGAGTTCTCCATAGTAAGCCTTAACATGCCGTTTTCCCTGTTACATATATCCTCCTTTACAAATGATGGATATGCTACAACCCAACCATGCTGATTACGGAACCTGTTGCGACTAAACTTGGCACAGTCCTTCACGCACAAAATGGCAGAAACTTTTTAGAGTACTTCAAAGTACCGTTACATGAACCGTTACCTGTTGAAATGTCAACAGTATGAACGAATATATGCACATGCTCGCTGGAGATAACTGGTCTCAAGATGGGCTTCAATCGAATGATGGTGCAGATGATGAAATATTTGTCTAGCGTTAATAAGCCTTATCCCTATTAGCAATAAGGCTTATGAGTAGCACTCCACATGCAAATGCTGTTGTCATTCCACAACACGTTTTTATAATAGTCTTTTTTATGTTTCATGTGCACATGCTCAGTAGATTTAACGGGGGAAACGAATTCATGACAGCAAGGTTATGTGATGTTTGGAGAATGGACGCTCGCGGTTGTTACTGTTGTAGACGATTCGTTGCCCTCTAACTTTGTTCATGCACGGGTACCAAAATCAACATGGGGTCGGAATGTGCACAATTTGCTTAACAAACTTCCATTGATGCTTTGACAGACAAAAAGATGTATGTACATGTATTTTGTGAAGGTGGTGTTCAGTATTGGTTGGCTGGATTACACGAAGAAACACTCAAAGGGCGCCCTCACACTACGGCAAATCGTAACATTACGACGAGTACGACTGATCACGCTGCGCTGATCATGCTGATTGATGTGATACAGCTAGCTAACAAGCAGGCCTACAGAAATGTAAATCACAGTTTTCTTTCATTTTCTTAGAATTCATTTTCCACTAAATGCGCATGTTTTAATGTGAAATTATCTAAAATATGCAATTTTACTTCTAAACACGCCTAAATACTTACTCTGAAAATCAGAAACTTCAAACATGTTTGCCGAATTTTTATGCTGAAGTAAGCCGTATGTTGATGTCGTCTGCAAAACTGACGTGTATTCAGCCTCGTTCAGTAAATCTGGCCGTTACTTTAGTGTGATGTAAAAATACGAAGTTGTTTCTTTGACTTCAACAACAAAAATATTCTGATAATAGTTACGGTAGTAATTAAAATTTATTTTTGAATTACTAAACTTATATACGTTTCATTGTTCGTCCAACGCTGTTATGATGTAAACATGGCAAGAAAATCTAATTCGATGAAGTTGTCTTACGCCCTCACGCGTTCTGATAAAAATTATTTTGGCCGTGCAGTTAGTTGTACTATTCTCTACTGATACGAAAAAGCAAAAAAAAAATGAATACAATTAGACAGATGAAAATAATATGCACAGTTTTAAGTGAGGTTCAATGATCAGGCTCAGAGTGCTAAGCTCTGTGGCCACGCCCGGGATTTGTCGGATTAATGGGGTCAAGTCCCCGAGGGAGGCCTTCCGGTTTATTCATATATTCGAAGTATTCTGATCACGTGAGGAAAAACAAATTGGCTACATTGGCTATATTTCAATGCCACCATTTTGGTTGACACTTTAGCAGAATACCCCGCCACCCCGCACGATCATAGCCAGGTACAGGTCAAAGTGTCACACTCTTCTCAAGGGATTTTCACCCGTGTACCCCGCAACCAGTTATTCCAGGGGTCGTTTTTTTTTATAAGAGTGGGGGTATTCTACAATTAATCCGAAACTTACGAGGCAAAGGGCTGGATGCAGTCTAGTCGGAAACACGTGTTCGCAGGCCATTTGAGCGAGTGTACAACATTTCTGCTGTACTCGTCAAGCTTTGAGAGTTCGGTTGAGCGGCAAGGTTAATTTCCTCAGAAACCTTGTTTTTAGTGCTGAGGCGATAATTCGTCGCTCATTCTGTGGGCTAATCTCTATGAAATTTTTGACAAGAAAACCTAGACCTTGCCTAATCTACACTGTAATTATGGGCCTAACTATGCAGAGTCTATGCGCAAAATTGTGTACAAGAAGACGCATGCGTTAGTTATGGCTCTTTTTAACAAAACGTTATTACAGGGTTATGTCAAATTCAAATTTGCAGCAAGATGTAAACTTGTGAAATTTTCCACACTATGTATTTAGGTGGCTGGGGCAAACTGGCAAAGCAAGGGGAAAGGCAGTTTAAAAAAATCCAAAAGGAAAAGCCACTAGAGATACGACAGGAATCAAGGTAGGTTGCCTACTGAATTGGCCCCAGATGCAGGTAGACTGTGGACAACCAATGAAAGGTACGTAGGCCTACTTCTTACCCACAAATGTGCTCCTGAGCCTTAGGTTGGAATTTAGAATTTGGCATGGTCAAGACTGGAATGACAAACAACAGTGGACTCGCATAAAGAGCTTTTATGAAAAAAAATGCTTGAAAGTTGGTATAATGGAGATTTTATAGACGACTATTAAAGAATTCACCAACTCATGAGTGAAAGAATGCTATGCAGTTTGGGGTGGAGTTTGATGGAAAATCTGAGGTGGGTTTTGAGGCTCTGCTTTGAGCAACTTATACTTGAAAAAATTTTTTAACCCTAACACTCCTCAATCCTTCACCTGTTGGACGACTGAGGACTGTTACGGTTAATGTACTGTCCAATGCAGTTACGTCACCCTTTCTAAAAACACACCACACAACGGCAATAAACACACAAAGACAGCCCAAATCTGAAATATGTATGCCCAACATGAAAATGTTTATAAGCCATAATTGTTAACAGGAGCTGATTAATTTCAATGGATACATTTGAGTTAATACATTTGAGTTAATAGTTCAAATTTTCACACATTCTTTACACCATTTGGTAACAGAATACCTTGAAGCTAAAGAACGTAATCTGGCAACCTCAGTTACAAGACATTACTGAAAAGGTAGTCAGGGTACGGCAATTGTGTGCGCATGTCAGTGATGTCACACATGCTTAACCGTCTTTGACTGAGCCCACATTTTGGCAACTAGTATAAATGACCTGTTGGTCTAGGAAGCACTAGACAATGCCCCCAATTTCCGTCACTGAATTAGTCCATACACAGACATAAGATCACACATAACACGTGGTTAGGTATTGTAATTTCAAGTCCTCGTAAAGCTTTTTAAAGATTGGTACAATGTCATTGTAATTGTCAAATATGTCAAGAAAAGATGCTTACACTAGAATAATGTATTCATGATGATGTTTCTGTGTCATAAATATTGAAGATTTAGTCAACAGTATTTAGTCAAACATTTAAAACAACTTAACAGAGGTACAACATGGTATCTAGTACATGTAAATTTCCAAAAGTAAACGTAACCCTGAATAGATAACTTTAAACTGACTGCACCTACATTAAAATGGATACGGAGATGTCTTACAGCAAATGTAATTAAAATAAGATAAATTTACCAATCTAAACTTACTTTCTGTTTACTTAAAAAGTATGTATAAGAGTGTGAATAAATATGAGCTAGTCACAGTGAAGCTGGGGGAAGAATGTTTCATTCCTTTTCAACCAACACGTATAATACCCAAATATTTAAAATAAACTACAATCACAGTTCTTTTGTATGAAACATATAAAATTAAAAGGAACAACCCGTTTGTAGGCTTCCAAAGTTGTGGGATTAAAGAGGGTGTGGAGAATACATAAATTTATTCAGAACTCAACGGAACAGAAATTCAAAGACACAAATAACATCACCATTACCATACAAGCATATAACCTTAAACCTTCATTAAAAACATAAATGGTATAACTGTTTGGATACAAAATATCGAGAATACAAACAACTAAAATTGTCTTGTACATTGGGCAGATATGTGATAACTTATCTGGTGAAAAATACAAAGAAAAAGGTATAAGCGTTAGTTTACCAAAATTTCCAACATTATGCTGTGTTAATATCTTTCACTTACAGTACAATTTGTATAAGTTTTCTTAAATTTTCTTCAGTATTTTACAGAGTAAAATTGAAGCTATTTCTACCTTATTTCTGGCAATAGAGTCCACAATGATTGTCAAGTAGAATTTCTGGCAATGTACATGTATAGGCCTGTTTATATCAAGTAGAGAGTACATTAAGCTCTTTTTAACAATCTCACAGCTTTTTGAATGCTTTCGGAACATGATCACGACTTCAAGTCTTCAATACAGTTAATTTTTTTTCTGAAGCTTAAACATTCCCATACATTTTTAAGTCTGTAACAGTTTGGAATCTACATGTATATAAAGCCAAGATGTCAATGTGCAAATGTACATATACAATGCTATAGGACGCACAGAAACCATCTACACGTTATATATTCAATGAAGCAGCAGTATACTTTGTAAGTTAGTGTTATGAGGTGTCGATAGCATTGTATATGAGGTGTTGATGGCAGTGTCCATTTGTTTTTGATCAATGAGGTACAACCCCTCACACACATATACCTGTGTGAGGTTCTCCATTCCTGAAACAGAATCTCAGGTGCCAAATCGCTGTGGTGCTGGCAAATTCAAATCCTATGATTCTGCTGAGTATAACCTCTCCCAGATTTTTTGTAGTCGTGCATGTGCAATCATTTAGATAAATAATTTGCTCCTTTCTCTTCAACTGTGAGAGGTTTGAGGTTGTGAGCCAAGCTCCAACTTCATCTTGTATAGAGGAGAAACCACATGCACCTGTTGTTTATACCACCAGGCACGAATTTATATGGGAAAATGTGACTAAAACACCTCAAAAACACCGATTGGATCCTCTCTTTTGAGTGTATTTCCTGTGAGAGGAAAGCAACATGCACGATGCCAGAGTTATTTCTGCAAGCAGAGTTGGTGTTTTGTTGAAAGTAATCAGGAACCTCAAGAGTCATTACATGGCATTACATGAATGTACAGACCGGATGAATGAAATATCTGTTTTTCACATGCATTATCTGGCTTCACTTTTGTTTCTGTGAGCATGGTATACGTACATATGCACGCAGACGTCTGTGCAAACACACCAAGACGGAATATTACGTTCACTTCCCAACCTTTAGTATAATGGAGAAGCCACAATGATTTACTACCAAGCTATCACTGGAGTTTGCAAACAGACACGTGACATTTTCAACTGGCCCAGGTACTCCACCAGGCTTTGCATTGATAATTTTTTTTTTCACTCTTAAAAATCACACTCCATTATTCTTTATTCATACACTGTTTTCCATAAAATATGAACATGATAAGTGGCACAGAGATTGACTTAGAACTGTCAGGACTCGACACCAAGTAGTTTTAATTCAGTTGATTTAACTCTACGAATGGCAAGCTTTGTCTCAAGACACCTGCATCACAGCTGTAGCAACTTTGTTTGCTTCGACAGTTCATCTATGTCACATCATATATCGATTACAAAGATTATTGAATAAATTTGTGTTACATCATGTGAAATAATGCACATCTTACGGATGTTGGAAGTAATGAGCAAACTCGCATTCACATAAAAATACCAGTTATACTGGCATGTCAAAGTTTTATGTTTTGGTCAAAAATATTGTAACAATGACTCAGTGTAAAAAGGACAGTCAGTACTGCAAACAATTATTATTTTTAGGTCAGAGTGTATTATGATGGTAAATCACGAAATGATAAAATTTTACCCAAACCTGAAATGAAACCTGTGAGATAAACAAAACAGTTAATTTTGCAATCATGTCGAATCACATTTTTTAAGACTACGTTTGTCATATCGGGTCACTGACCTCCTAACTTCATTTCAAGAGCTTTACCTTACTGTATAGACCACTTAGACAATTCAATATTTTTGCCACTGGGTATGCTTTTGGGTTGGAGCAAAACTGATGGCTAGCGAAAAGAAGTTCAAAGAAACATTTGGGTACATTCTGGCCCAAACTGTATCTTAATGAATTACATTGTAAAAGTAAGCCTTAGAAAAATGATACAGAAATATTCATCATTAAATAATTACTATTCATTTTCAACCATGAATACTAATCAATCTGCTCGTGTGTAAAGGTATACATTTAATGAATGGATATTTGGTAACCTTGTTATTATTAATGGCATGAATATTCAACACCCTCTTCTGGGATCATGTACTAAAGGTAAATGGGAAAACTCAATCACCCGTAACACTGATCAACCTAACAGAAACACCTGCAATGAATATTTTAATTCACTGAAAGTGGCAAAATGCAAAATAACTCTCCGCTGCCTGTGCATGAATATTGCTAACGTAGTTTAAAGAATATCCAACTAAAATATGCTACCAAATACACATCAGTAACATTTTATTTCATGTAACGAATTAATTGCATAGAACTGGCTTTAAATCTTTATATACAAAGTAAGTTGTACCAATTGTAAACATACAAGTTTACATAAAATTCCACTGTAGATGAAAAAAAACATTTCACATATAAACAAACTTTATTCAACCCATCAACGTATATACAGTAAGCATCTAAAAATCAGTAAACATATAAATAACCATGTTTATGCTTATGCTTAGTGTCTGAATACATTTAAACAACATCAACAAGAGTTAGAGGGACAATTTAAAATGCTGCTTTAAACAATACTGGGTGCATAACCCAGTTTTGGATATGTGAATTCTTTCATGGTTGGCAAATCTGTTAAAATGACTTCTTTACATGAAAAGTTTAGCAAATAAATACAGTTGAGCCCTATCAGACACTGTAAATCACAGAATCGTGCTGGGCCTAGCAAGGTTCGATCATTAAAGGCACAGTATGCAGCTTGTCGTGTTCCTCCTGAAACAAACAAGCATTTATTAACATATACTGAGGGTAATTTTACCTAACAATTTGACAAGCTGCTCACTAGCTTGTATTGAACCAAACATTACGTTAATTGATATTTTAGCCACTTAGTTCTATAAAATGCCGAGCTTCACATCCATGGAAAGTGTAACTTTGCAAGGAGTGGAATCCAGCATCTGGCTTTGACTTTCTGAATTCAACTTCCTGAATTCTTGCTGAGACTTGGGTTGACACTAGGCTTTAGCCGCAAAATAAACCTATGTATTTTTCTTTGAAATTTTGAAATGAGAGCCTTGTACACTTGGCCACCGCCGAAGCCTTCATTTGGCTTATTTACGAGAACAAAACAAAATGGTGGTAGTGCCAAAGCTGTGATCAAAGTCTCACATGCACATGCAAAGCCTCTTCATGTAATTCATGTTATTGTAATTAATGCATGCTTTTGACAGAAACAAAATTTGGCTGATTTAGAACGTCTAAGAAAATGTGTATTTGGTTTGGGATAAGTAACATGCTGGCATCCGTGGCTTTGCTACGCTTTATGAATTGGAGACCTTTTGGGGGGGGTGTATTTATTCTAAGTCGCTTAAAGCCATGATGTGTTGTAAAACAACCTGCACATTAGCCTTGAAGTCCATGTTTATGCTTCTGGGCATTGTTTTACTTACAGTTTTTTTACAGCAGAGTAGCCGGGATTCTGAGCACAGGGCGGGGGGCTTCATGTTAAAGAGGGGGAGGGGCTGACTGGATGTTGGACATATACATGTGCATGTATGCCTCCCCCTTAGCCACGCCCCTGTCAAAATTTTCTGTATCTTTTGGTCGAATAAATAAGACCCTCACTGCAAATCCTAATGCATGTAAATTTCATAACACTACAATATTACCATGCCCCCTTTCTGTGCATGCATCAAACTGTGTAGTCATTCTCCAAAAAAAGAAAGGGAAAATGGAAAACAAATTAAAAGCAAGGGATGCCTTGTTAGAATGATTGCCTGTGGGGAATGACATCACCATGGTCACCTCATGCATAAAGAGCAGTTGCTCAGCGATTTTATGCGAGATGTCTGTCGTCCTTAACCCGGGTCTCCATCAGGAGAGTGGAACTGACGACGCCGCGCTGTGCTACACTGCACTGGCGAGGGGGCCACATTTAGGGCAAGTATGATATCAAGCACGATGAATAAATCATGCGCTTGTGTTGTAATGTGCTGTCGAGGGAGCAAAGTACTGATGTCATGCCCTCCGTAGGGATTACGGCTCGCCACGGTCGATTCTATCAGGGGAAGAGAACCAGTTCCGTCCAAGAAGAGAGAACCCTGAGTGCAAGACCATTTTGTCTCGTGACATGTGCATGTACATGTGAGCATGATTGTATTAAAAGTAATTAAGAAATTGTGAAATGATAAAACCATACTGGTATATGTACCAGTACATGTACATCGTATTCAACAGGATATATAGAAATGAGGCCTAGGCCTACAGACTTGGTTTCTGAATTCAGTGCTTTTACTTTATGTGCATGCAAGCAAAGGACAGGCCCAGCTCAAACCTCTTGTCAAAATATTCCCCCCCCCCAAAAAAAAATATGGATTTGTTTAAATTAAAAAACTCACACCTCCAACATCCACCTGTTCATTCTGTTTTAGAGGTCCCAAGATAATTAAATGAGGCAGATTTAATTGTGTAGATGTACATGTATGTTCAAAACTCCTGGCTGGCATTTTAGTACTGCTTTTGAAAGATTATCTACCTGCTGCCAAACCTCCTAAATAAGAAATGGCAAGTTTTTGTGATTACTGCTACATTTGGGCAAGGATACCCTACGAGTATATGCATAATTGATTTTCCTTTTTCACAGACACTATTTCACAGTTCAAAGTTATTTTGTTTGCTATGTGTAGTTGGGAGGCAAGAAAATAAAAACATGCACCCTTAAAAAAAACCCAGGAAAAAACTGGGTATTTTCTTTCATCATGCATGAGACAGGGCAGTTTGCTTATATTTTTTACCTCTCCATAAGTGACACTTCTTGTAATAGCACCTCTTGCCTTTCATTTCCTTCAACAGACCGGAAGGAGATCCGTAAATGAGCTTGTGAGGTTGATGATTTTCAGGTGCAGACTGTCCAGGTACTGATGAGTTGAATTCACCATCAATGCAATCGGGGGATGTTTGAAGTGAAGTGCACATCAGTGTTCAAAGAGGCTGCTGGCTGTTGCCATGGAGATGGGCATCTCATTGTAGGAGGCGCAGCAACTGTTGTCGTCATCCACCTATTAAACTGAAAATTGGGTAAACAGTAACAATCCAGCTAGTAGGGGTGGAACATGGATCAGACGAGACCAGAATATTATACGAGTGATGAAAAAGGTTAAGGGACGTTGGGAAGATGCAGGGGAGGTCAGCTGAAGAGACAGGATGAGGTGGAGCTATACATGTACATGGGCCAGTGAATAAAGAAAGAGATTCTTGTCTACAACAACGTCCTTTTAACTCTTCTTAATACCAGTTGTTGAAGTTTCCTTGTCTTCATCCAGCAAAAGTGGTTACCGAAGAAAATATTTGATGAGCAAAATATGTACATGTACAGGAATCTCAAGATCAATCTTAAAGAGGTTGACATTTTTTGAACTTCCCCTTTGCCTGTTTAGACATACATGTGTAAACCTCTCCAAGAGGTGCCACTGGGGAAGAAGGTGCTTATTTGTAGTTCGTTGGGTGCCCAGCAGAAGGGCATAAGCGCAATTCGGCCCTTTCGCTGGGAAGCATGATCACAGCAGAAAAAATGTTCCCGGCAAAAGGGCGTAAGAAATACACTCTCTTTTAGTAAAAACAGATATAATTTACGACAAAATCAACCTGGGCTGTACAAAATGCAACCTTTGAACAGCTTATTAAAGGACTTGGGCTTTTTTTCTTTTTACTTTTTGCCTAGAATTTTCATGTCATTAAAATACAATAGTTGCATACTTTCGGCCTTTTGCCGCGAAAAGTTTTTCTGCTGTGATCATGCTTCCCGGCAAAAGGGCCTAAGTGCTTACGCCCTTCTGCCGGGCACACGAGAAGTTCATGAGAAATGTGCACGCAGAATTAGAGTGGAGGGAGGAATACTACAGAAAAGCCTTTGTTCAAAAGTTACAAATGCAGCTGGAAACAACATAGGTGTCTATGTTAGCGGTCACAGCCATTTCCCATAGGTGCATGTGTTAGTCACAGCCACAGCCAGTAAATCAGACACAGCCTACAAAAGTGGGTTAATTCAGGAGAGATGTGGTTCGTAAATACAAGATGGTGCTTGAGGGGAAAAGTGCAGAATGATTAACTCTGAGGCGCCGACTTATGTCGTGAATCATGCCTTAAACCTTGAGTCCAATGTCCAATGGATTACTGCGAATGTAAAATGAAGTCGTATCACCACTGCTGCTTCTCAAAACACAGCCTTGTTTCTGCCTACTGGTTCTAGCTTCTTAAATTTTAGGTTTGGATTGTGGAGATACTTGCCAAACATTGGCATCAGAACTTCCAGCATGATCACAGCAGAAAAAAGTTCCCGGCAAAAAGGGCGTAAGAAACACTCATTATTTAAAAAAAAAACTCATAAATTTACTCCCAAATCAACACAGGCTGTACAAAAAAACCACCTTTAAACAACCTACTAAACAACTTGGGAAAAACGTTTTTGAACTTTACGCAAAGAAATCTTTATATTTCATAAAAATAAAATAGTTGCATACATATGTCCTTTTGCCGGGAAAATGTTTTTTGCAGTGATCATGCTTCCTAACAAAAGGGCCTAAGCGCTTACGGCCCTTCTTCCCGCCACACAACGATTTATACATCTGATCCTTTTGGAGATGAATCGTGGGTTGGGAAAAAAAAGCAAAGTTTGCAGAATAACCTACATGTACCGTGTACCTACACAACACTACATCCAAATGTCACGGCGATGGCTGAAGCCACTAAGATCAACAGCCGGTGCCCATCGACATGTTGTATGACTGGTCACAACCAATTGATGTGGATACCACTTACTAGAAATTAAATTTGAATTGACCTTGGTTTAACAAGCCGCCTTATTTCAAATTCAAGTGGGCAAAGGGTTTTCATTAGAATGCAGATTACCACAACTGGACTCGATATCCCTTATGACTCAAACATTAACTGACATAAGATTTACATCCAAAGATGAAAAGAAATTATTTCAATTCCTAAAGTGTCAAGCTATTAGGGTCAAAACAGGGATAAAATGCCAGATTTACAATTTTTCTTAAATATCCCAGTGCTTTGTGGAGTGAATAGAATACCAATGTGTCGTTTTAGGCAATAAATGTCTCCTCCATCCAATGTGTGTAAATATGTCATTCTCACCATATTGATCAGAGGGAACATTTTTTTCCCTCTTGGAAGTTTGGCAGGCATCTTTTACCCGGGTCTTGGGGTAAAAATGCCTGATCAAAATAAATTCTTCAGCAAATATTAAAATCGATTGAAATATTTATTCATTTATCATTTTAAAATTAATCTACAATTAAAGAATAATAAAAATACCCCGTTTTTTTTAAGTAATAAACTGATAACCACAGCTGCACCTTTGAAGGTCGTTTAAAAATTGTATTCTTTGCTTCGTTCTGCATTTATATGCTGGTACTTGTCAGCAATGTTTTATTTAGTAATGTATCTAGGTGTATTTAGTACTTTCTCTTAAAATGATGGATGCAAAGAAATGGTCACGAGTTAAAAGAGAATTCGCCTCATGAGAAGAATAAATCAAATGTCAGGTACTCATGTTCAACCACATTTTAAAATCTTCGAAAGGTTATTCCTCAAAAACAATGCCTTATGTTGCCAGCTCAAGTCACAGATACTGTCCATGTACACGTCTGAGAGGACTGAATAAATTCTAGCGATGGATACAAGGGGCTAATGGCAGTGGAATGCCGCCGGGAAGAGATTCTCCGCACGGGGACAGTCTGCCACCAATTACATTCCCCCCGTGCAATCGGAGACATTTCAAAATGTCAACCCGCCAGTGTTTGTTGATGTGCGCTGTGTTTTGGGTGTGCGGAGCAGTGTGTTTGTACCCACACTGTACTCTTCCCTGCACTGCTAGATTCTGTCTTATCAATTACTTACAATGACACATGTATACAACAGACGTGCGCGCACATGGCACATACAGGCATACCCACAATTATAATTTTCCATGCCCGTCATACACGTACACTGCATGAAAGGCACTGCAGCTTCAGAGACGACTTCTAAAGTTGAAATGAAAACCCCAAACAAGATCAATTTCACCTCTGGTTGGAACCAGAAATTCTTAAAAATTCAATTTTTCTCACGACATACAGTACCAGCAGTTTCTTGACTTTAACCCCTTAACCCTAACCCCCTAGGGTGTATGTAAAATCGTATTAAAATTGGAGAATTTGGGACTGTTAGGGTTAAGTTGCAGTATAAGTATGTACATATTTACTGAAACAGTTGGCAATAAATTCTGCTGTACAAGAGGTACAAGGAAGTTGTTGAATTTTTCTCGTAAATCATTTAAATTTCAACACTTTCCCAACTTTATACGTCTCTTTGCCTCAATTAAGTCACGGGCTGAAATTCGTCATTATACTTATCAGTACATGGAGAGCTGTAAATGTGAAGGTTACACATTACATGTCCAAACTCCTTGACAACAAATGGAATAATGGAAGATGAACCCATCCGTAATTTTTAATTACTGGATTCACTCAGAGTACATGTAATTTGCCAGGTGCAAATTTACATTACTGCTTCCGTACCTTTGCACCTAAACATGACAAATAAGATTTCCACCATCGAGAGTCAAGTGAATTGAGCCCTATTTCAATTCGTAAGAACTGATACTCCTCGGCAGTAAAGGCTTAATTTGCACAGCGCATTTCTACTGAAAAGTTGTGTTATTGCAGACAAGAAAATGGTCTGACAAGAAAGAGATGGTGTTGTTTAGAATGATGACGTGACTGAGTGGTCTTATCATTCCGACTTATCAACCTGTCTAGAGTTAATGGCCACAGCGGAAAAGCAAACTCCAGACACTGAGGGCGGAGCTCATCAATAAACTAAACCACAGAGCAAGAGCAATGCCGGTAACAGTAGATGTACAGGAGGTCTGTGGCAACACCAGGCTTGGCTGATCAAGCCCAAGGTTGTCACTCAAGTCGTCCTTTGATTAGCACCTTCTAAACAAATTCCCTGCCATGTCTGTACTGTGTATGCACATCTGGTAACTACCTGGTTATTTTCCAACTGTAGTTTTCAACTTGTCAAGTTCAAACAGAAAAGTCAAAACCTTTTACATACAACACCTCCAATTTTATAAAAACGGTTAACTTTTCCTTACTGGAAAACATTTTATGAGCTCTCATGAATTGAGAGCAAAGTGGTAAGACCTTGCCTTATGGTTTACACTCATAACTGATCAACATCAGAGAATTCCCAATAAGGCAATAAAACAGGTGAGTGAACAACCATATGTTGCCAAGGAACCACAGGTACAATAGGTGTGAGGCTGCCCAAAAATGATAATTTGTTTGACCACAATTTTGGAGGAAAAAAATTACCGTGCAGTCAGGCGTCTCCATCAGATCATCACCTTCACGATTCATTGACAATTTGCGAGGTCGAGTGAATTGAAAAATTTTACATGTATTTACACACGCAAAAGAAAATGCCGGTATCTACATGTACATGTACAGGCATTCACCGTGTTCAGGGGACAAGTTCTTTTGTTAGGGAAATTTGAACCGAGTTGTGGGGTCATTTCTGAGTCCCCACAAAATACATGTAGGTGAAATGTCGAGTGTATGTCCCCACAACTACGGTGCCTGGAGTCTCTGTACCTTGACTACACACGTGCTATGCTTTAAAGAACCACTTCAACTAAGGAAGTACCTGTCTATCCTTGGTAGTCACTGAATTGTTTGAAGCTGAAACTTAATTAGGTCACTACCTGTCCTCACCTCATGCAGTTATATCATGCATTAACAGGTGCTCCTATGTACAACGTACACGTACCTCTTACCTCAACCCATCACACCACAGAAAAGGCCCATGAGGGCTAAAGGCAACCAGTGACATCTCAGAAACTGAAAGGCATAGCCTACACGTACGTGAACCTTGTAAGGTTCGGCACACCATGACCATTTCCCACATCACTGGGCACCTCCTTTCCCCAGCTTCAATTATTTTGCACATCTCTGACTTTGGATTTCATATCTTTGGTTACAGTAGCAGCAGTCCATGCGGACACATGTACACACATAAAAGACAACGCCAGGAATATAAATTTAGAATTCACGGTCTTCATATGGATCCAAAGCGAAGGGTAAAAATCGAAACTGCCTGAAAAAAGTTCCAAAAGGCCCGATGTGCAAATGGTGCTTTATTATACATGTAGCTTTAATCAGCTAAACAGGGAGAAAACTGGGAAGATAATCATGACACGTGGCATGGCAACCTTTCATTAATTCTCCGAATCCATGACCGTGCTGCCTGTAACGCTGTCCCATAATCCAGTCTGCCCCCCACCCCAGCTAACCGCTAGGTATGTTTATAGAGACTGTTGCTTACAGCTCTCGCATGCACTGCCCTGAATAGCAGCAATAGGTTCTGGACACAGCCCCACCCGACAACGCATCCTGCTCCTAATCATACATGTATGAGCCGCAGCAAACAAACAGATTTAGCAGAAATCTAGCACAAGCAGTCCAGTAAAATAGTAACAGTCGGGGGAGAGGAGTTGTACACACATTTACAAGATAGTAAATGTACATGAATGTGATCCTACATTGAAGACCTCCCCAATGCCCATCCCTACTCCACAAAACCAGTGCTGTACATGTACCCGGTACATGTAATTAAATGCATCACCAGTCCCTGCAAGGACATCATAAGGTCACCGTGAGCTATCCAATCTTAAGCCAAATCACGGGCTATTCAAAACAACCGTGACACAGCACACCCTTCTCGCTGGTCACCCTTTAACTTACAGGTGTAGAAGTCTTAGGAAAGGACTGAACGTTACTCTGAGAAATGCCATATTTGGAACGCTTGCCCATTCTAGATGTTTTCTGTTCATTTTGAATACATGCACATGTATCTCTGGCCGTCCTTGATAACTTGTGCACTGCACTTCTGCCGCTGGTTTTTCACGGACAGATAAACATCTGAAAACCGTTTAAATGAAAACCTCATGTAGGTGAACTGTGGCTAATCCTCATGCTAAAAAGGAACAGGATTCTAGTTTTGAATCCACATGTTATTAACAGAGAGAAAAAGCTCAAGTTGCACTTCATTGTTATAGGAAAAAAGACAGTCACTTGAGGGACTTTTAGGCAGAGTTGGCTAAAGAGTGAAAAAACATTTACAAAACAAACAAACAAAAATGTCTGCGTAAATACTCCACCAAAACTACCGCACTATGCCAATGCCAGTCTTGCCCGGTGAGCTATTCCGCCCCCACTATGCTAAGTAATATTTCCCAGCTCCTTACATTATTCACAGCCGACAAGTGGCCACTTTGGGACGTTTGATTGAAGGTTGGTTTTACTAAAGTGCTCATTGCAATTCAGTGGAGACTGATCATGTTGATTAAGAGGAATATGCGGCCCTGACAGAGAAATTCTATGTTTACTGTCCTTTCCCACCAGGTATATCAAAAAAACCTGAATGAATTTACGGCACAGAAATACACAAGATGTGGGTACAGGTACATGTACATTACCGTACCAATTTGTTTGGCAGGAGGGAGGATAATGCTGAAGGATAAACTTGGAGCAACTGAATTCAAAATGATAGAAAAGGCCTCCAGGGAAGGAGATAAATATTTTAGGATATCAGAAAGAAATAACTACATATGCTGGAGTTTTTGATGAAGCACCGCTAGTCAACGAGTAATTTTGGCTGCAACCTATATAACCAATATATATAACCAATATATTAGCATACATATACATGTACATGTATATTGCCTCGTACACCTCAACACTATACATGTCGTATGCACTCTCGTAGATTATTTTCATAAGCTGGATGCATCTTTGTGGATAGTTTACTGTTTCATTGCTTAGGTTTAGTTTCTATTTGTCTCGGTACGATTACATGTACATGTACCTGCTTGGTGTTGAATTCCAAGATAGCGTGACAATAATAAAATAAACTTAAACAGTGGTCCAGGCACAGAAAGGAACAAAACTGCAATATCAAAAGGCTAGACGAATTCCAAAAGAGTTCTGCACAGTGTGGACTCAAACTGACATGCACGCACCAGTACCAAGTATCAAGTCACTGTATACCTGGATGCAGCACTGTAACTTGTTAACCTCAGTGCCCTATTGGTGATTTTAATCACACATTGGGAACAGGAAAGGGGTAAAAAAACAGGTACAATGTACAAGTAAACTAGACAGGTTTGCAGTAGCAACATGGATATGCCTCTTTCTTGAGTACTGTACGGGGAGGTTCTGAAGAGACCTGGTGGTACTCCATGTTTCGGACAGTGCGCTCTGTCCGTCGTCGGGAGACTGCAGAGGGTCCAGTGATGAGGCAGCTATATGACGTGAAGAGGACAGTGAGGTGTACATGTGGAGAGGATGCTGACTCTGGATTGAACCGGGGGGCGTTGGATCCAGAGTTAGCAGCCTAACTGCCCTCTACACCCCATATAAGGTGCCTCAATCACTGGACCCCCCCGCTGCCTCATCACTGGACCCTCTGCAGTCTTCTGACCATGTTGAGTACCACCGGTTCTTTTCAGAACCCCACGTACAAAAAAGAGATATATCCATGGTGCTGCCGTAAACCTATCCAGTTTACTTGCTACCTTCACTATGAAAAGCTTCAAATCCCAATGTACAATGTACATCGTAGATGCACATGATATGTACTGGTAATACCCAAAATCCCAACTGGTACGGGTAGTGTAGTTGTGGGCACTCCACACACAAGCTTTAATAAGCCTTTTTGTATGTTTTTTTTAACTGAGGTCATTCTCAACCTGACATCTACCGGTATGTCCTGAGAAATGACACTTTCCTCATTTGCATGCTTATTGCTCTACAAACATGCACCCTCTCTAAACACACAAAAACAGTGAAAAAAAGATTGATTTGATATCCTTACTCAAGAATGACCACTGTGAAAAAAGATTGATTTGATATCCTTACTCAAGAATGACCACTGCTCAATGGGCAGTGACCTCAAGATACTACAATGTGCATGTAGTACGTCCCCTGCTGCAGTACACCTTGATGTGGTTGGGTACTATGTGCCTCAGGTTCCTGATGTCAAGAGACATGGCTCAGTTCAGTCACCTAGAAGAAAAAAAGTCACAATAAATATAAGAACATGTACATGTACCCCAGTAGATGGTATCAGCAGGGAAAAAATGACTGCTATATGACAATAACCACCGCACCAGGGGAAAAAACATCTCCAAACAGTGTGCTTCAAATATGTATAAGAAAAAACTCCCTAACAGAAAAAAAATAACATACATGTACATTAATTAAAAAGTGATATTGTGTATTTAAATAACATTGTACGATGTACCCCGGTAGGAATGCCAGGGTTGCCCACAGAAAACTGCTTTATAAACTCACAGAGATAAAGAAGATTACAAAGATCAAGACTATAACTGACTTGATCTAATTTGGTCTTGGTCTAAATTCATCTTACTGGTACACACACACAGGAGGGACAATATCCTACGCAGCCTCAGAAATCCTCCTCAGAAATCCTCCGTATGTACATGTAATTGATGCTGTGTGTGATGTGAGCAGGGCTTAATTAAGATTGTCCACTGGAGCATACCGGGAGATTTTCATGACCCACTTGGTCAAATGGAGGCTGCTTCAGATGATTGCATCCTTGAGGTGGGCACCATGAGGGGTGGGATGTTACGGGGCCCAACGAGGGTGAGAGAAGCTGTGTATAAGTTAGTCTGGCTATGGCTAGGAGTACAAGTCTATGGGAAGTGGCTGTAGTGGCATACAGTACATGTGCTTTCTTTACATACATGTATTTGTAAGTCATAACCACAACTTTTGGACATGTAGGTGTAGCCTACAGTGCGCATAGATGTAGCGTTCATCCAGCCAAGACAGGCACAGACTGGTTACCTGAACTCAAGGAGAAAAAAGGCAGGCAATATTCTCATAGGTGAGATATCATGTTGCCGTGACAACCTACCCCTCCCTGGAAGTCTGGCTAGCCAGGCTTCCAAGTCCATGTATCATTCAATGTAGCGTGTAAACTGCCCCTGAGTTTATCACTGACCCAGATTAGAGCTCAGTATGAACAGGTACTCATGGGTGTGAGTGGGAGTCAGGTAAAAGTTGCTCAATTAATAGCTATTGGTCTCAGGCAGGCAAGCCACGAGGTGTACAAATAAGCTGTACCAGTACCATCATCATACCGTATTTTGTAAGCATGTGCATGTATGTGTACAGATATGGTTTAGCCTTCTGAGTGCTGGCGCGTTGTCCCTACCCTTTTTGGAATTTAGAAATTCTTTTAAATTCACTGCTATGTGAAATTTTCAATGTCAAAAAATATTGCCAAAAAGGCGAAAAATCTTGAAGGCCTTGACTGGGTATGTACAATGTACTGTATATAAAAACCAAACAGCACATTCAGAAAGTGACAAATGTTATGCTGTGTGTTGAAATGAGTCTCCCCTCAAGGGACCAATTTGTGATTCATCATTCCAACTGAAATGGTGTTTATTTGCCTTAAGGGCACACTAACATGTTTATGTACAGGGTAACATACTGTGCTTCTTCGGGTTACAATTTTGATGCACCAATACCAAGCAACTTACGGTGCATCAATCAGCATCCTGTATTCAAGATTGCCTGTTTGGTAAAGGACAGCAGAATAGAGAAGAAACAAATTGAAAATCATCCCCTGAAATATTCTCCGGCAGAGATGCCGTAGTGATGTTGGTTTCTTTCATGAAAACACTACGGTAGGCGTGCAAACTGCCCCAAATATTCTCGTCCAGATATGCACAATCTACGTGCGTGTACATGTATTTACTTTCAGTGTCCAAGACCAAGGTCACACGTGCCAGTACATTGTACATGCGCACAGCCTTCGCACGTGCTTCTTAATACATTTCATACCAGTAAGCAGAATCGCTAAACCAGGATTTTATTGACATTACACGTACATGTATGTGAGCAGGTAGACAGAGGTGAAAATTATTCTGAATTGATTTCTATTGTACATGTAGCTTCAAAGTGGGGAAGGTGTCTGTGTGTACACATTTGTGTACACTGCATATGTGCGGGTAAATACATAAAAAAAAGAGACTTTGAAATAATAATAATAATAATAACACATTTCTTATATACATGTAGCGCATCACATAGCACATCTCGATGCGCTTCACAGTAATATTATGAATAAAGCAATTAATGAAACAGGTGAGTTTTAAGTAGTGACTTAAATTCGTTTTCATTTTTGACAGTTCTGATATGGTGTGGGAGAGAGTTCCACAGCGATGGTGATGCATACTTGAATGAACGATATCCATAAGTCTTAGTGCGAGTGACAGGTGTACTGAGCAGCAATGTTTGAAATGATTAACATACACATGTACATTGTACAGGCAATAAAAGTTACACGTTCTGCACATTTGTATAATGTACTGGTATCTTTTTGGACGGTGTCTTCCCAGGTTTTGTCACCTGAATTGGCTTTAGTCTATCCGCCCCGAGCTGAAGTGCACCCCAAATCGGCAAAAGGACAGACAGGTGCTTACAAGCGGGCTCTTGTGTACGCAAAGACCCTACATGTGCCTGCTGGAGTAAATTACATGTAGTTACGCGTACTCGGCGTCAAACACGCATATACTTGCGCACCTCATGGCGCACCCATGCAGTGAGTAAAAAAAAAAAGCCCTCTTTTGCTCCGCTTGGAGTGGATAACGAAACATCCTGCGTACAATGTACAAATATACGTGTATATAAGTACCCAGTACAGTGTGCTATGGCACGGCTACACACACTGCCTGTACATGTTATGGTACATGTATGACATTTGAATCATCATTAATTTATCAAGTACCAGTACAGTACACAATGTACCGTACCTGCTTCCTCATTCTCACCACTTATTCAAATTATGTACGGTAGCTCACATGTACCGGCAATTTACACAGGTATCAGCTATACCTGGACATGTACATGTAAACATGTACATGTTCTGGTACCTTTACAGATGGCTATTAAGCTGTGTCTAAATTAATGTTACTTGGTGAGAGGTACACATGTACATTACAGGTACCGGTACATGTGGTTCATCATGACATCTCAACCCTAACAGTCCTCAATCCTACAGCTTCAATACGATCTTACCTACATGTACATCCTAGGGGGTTAGGAATAGCTCTGTATTTGGATGAACCATGGAGCTATTAAACATGGATGAACACTGGCTAACAGCCCCAACCCTGACAGCATAATTGCTTCATGTCAGAGTCACTCATCTTATTTTGATCATCACTGACGGCTTAACAAGCTACATGTAATGTACATGTACATGTACATACAGTACTGCTACCGGGGGTACATGTATATGTACCTACAAGTGCAGTTTCTAGGGCAATTAAGGTACCCGGCACATTAAATGTACATGTACATACACTGGCATAAAGACATTTAGAGAGGAAAATGTTCTTTTCAGCCACTCCTCTCCGAAAATCCTGCAAGAGATCACTAGAGCCACCAGAGATCATGCACTTGAGGCAAGTCTATGGTACATGTTTTCCAATAGAGCTAGCACTGCTCTAATGACATCAATACCAGATGACTGATTTGTTTGGGGGAAGATGACGGTAATTTTTCTAGACATGTGACAGATGGGTTTTTACACAAAAGTCTTCAATATTTGTACTGGTAATAACCAAAAGAATGCCAAGTGCGGCTGATATTCTGAGACTGCAGGTCAAATCGAAGCCAAAGAGCAAACTTACCTCTGATAATGCAATTCAATAATTCTGCTCCAGGTATATTAACATGTGAATTATCAAGGCTTTGCTTGCATATGTGCCAGCAGGGCCTTTTTTTACCATACTGAACAAGACACATGTGGTTGTGGGTGTAATGCCAGTTAGCAACCTTGCAGAAGCATGATCATCCTAAACTCTCTCCTGCAGTTCTTTGCTCACGACTAACATTGAATCATTCTCCCAAACAATTTTTTTTTCGAGTAGAATTAAATAAAATGGAAAAAACTCTACTGAGTCCCAGCAGGATGGTTCATGCACTTGCTTCAACTTGAAGAAAATTTGCTAAAATCAAGGGCTGCCATTAGCTAGCGGAATTTGTAGTCTAACCACCTGATCAGCACAAACCTTACCAGCATGTTCAGGCTTCAAACCTTGCACTTCTGACTGAGTTTCTAGCATGACTGAATCCAGTTTGGTAAACGTTTTCTGTGTGAATTTCACACCTCAAACATCTGCTCACAACAACTCGTGACAAAAATTGAAGTGCGCCTACAGGTTTCGGGGAGCTGAGCAACTTGATCTTCATTTTTTGACTGGCGAGTGCATGGACATCAGCATGTCTCACACCCTTCAGTACACTGTGGTTTGATCCTTCCTGTGTGAATTATTACCACTGCAAGGTGTAGGCAATCATACTCTAATCAAGAAGATGATGCCTTGTTGAATGAAGGCTCTCCTTGAGATGTACCGGCAATTACTTGGAAATAAGTGGAATTTATGACAGACTCCTTGGCTGATGTGAAAATGGTACATACATGTACATGTATACATGTACATGAGTTGTTCAGGCATTGAGCTGATGTGAGGATCAGATTTCAGAGTAAGAATTGTTTTGCTATAGTGTGGTGATGCGCTACAGACAGCCCGACAGACTGACAGACAGACAAAAAACCCAACCAACACAGGTCTACTTGTAGCAAAGTGTAAATGATCTGCTCCACAATAAAACTTCTAAAGCATAAATTTCAGCATTTGCATGAATTGCATGTCAGAGAACAAGTGTTACTATTTCATAGTGTAGCTACATGTACGATGATCCAGGGTTAGACGTTCTTCTGCTGATCACAATTAAATTGTTTACGATCAACAGAGCTGGTCAGCAGAAACCTTCCATTTTTATTACCGGTACATCTCTCCACTTCCCCCCATTAGGCACCTGGCCTTGGCAATCAATGTACCAGTAAATCATAATTGGTATAACTTCACATCAACAGTAAGAGGATGCCGTACCTTGATGGAAATGGGTGGCATTCCTGTCAGCTTGTTAGCTAAATGCCATCCGGGATAAACTGAGAACACTGGTTTGTTGACCTTTAGATTAGGTGCGATTGAAAAAAAAATACGACAGCACCAGGCACATGGACACGGTGCAACGGGAAGGAAATTCACGGCGAAAATGTAGCAAATGCACTCGTTATGACCTGTAAATGCTCAAGGATGTTTTTAATGATTTTTAAAAACTTATCAAAAGGGCACACATTTCTCAAGACTACCTCGAATAGAACTTTGTGACAGCCGGTGTAATGAATGTCCATTTATGTGTCCAGTTTGCTTTGGTTTCGCAAAACGAGAGGAGCTCTCTGTATACATGTACAATGTACCTTTCCATCACACACTCACAGGTCAAGGGGCAGTGTTGTAGTTGAGTACTTTCCGAGTACAATGTTCTCTGCAAAATA